ATGTAAATAATGGATCCCATCCCATTCCATGGATGTCTGAACTGACATTAACTTGGTTAAAAACAAGTCGATTTATGAATGAATACTTTGCCCAAGATAATTGTGAGTTGAAAATGCAGTATGATGACAGTCCTAGTCCTGTGACTTCATTTTGAAAATGATGCACAATGAGAAGCTTCAGTAATTTTAAAATGTTTTCTTTATTCTGGCCATCAAAGCTAACCTGGGAGCTACCTGACACTAAAATCTAAAACCTGCAAGGTGACAACAGTGTGCTACATTGTGTTCAGAGCCGATACGTGTTCGTTCTAGCCAATGTCCCTGTTTCCACAGAAAACACCATGGCATGTCACCATCCTTGAAGCAACTTTTCACTCTACTTACAGTGCCAACACCAAACACTGCTTCTTGTGTCTGGAAATTTGACCCCATTCATTGTGTATTGCCAGCGGTCAGAGGACATTCTGGGACTCCCCGTATCCCAGATGTTGCCCTGCAGCATCATATTTTGTTAAACGTACCTTTTCTTCCCAATATGAGGAAATAACATATTTAAGGCAAATGGTGGTTTATCAGAAAGTTATGTGTGTTGTTTTTAATGAAAAGACCTTCAACTTTCAGAAAAGAAGTGACAAAGCCAAAGTGGATAGGCATCTTCTGGTGTTCTGGCTGTGATTGGTCTACCAGCACCGTCAAAAACTATTTGAGTGTCAGAGTCCCTGCCATGTATGCGTCAAGCCAAACTAAGGAGATTGACCTAAGGTGTCATGAATGGTGTATACCGCCCGCTAAATTTGAAAATAAAACACCACATGTTGTCTTCTCAACATGAATTAACCCGTTAAAAAGTAAGTTTTATGATCATTTCACATGCTTACCAGTGGCAAAAGTTCATACAGTATGCTCGTAGTGGGCCAGAGCACCCTCACAGAAAGCAAAATTAGAACATAGAACGCACATATTATGTAGGTATTCTAGGTAAAGGTCCTTACACACCGGGAACGACGTTAATATATGACGCGAATTTCTGAAATATTCAGAGGCAATTTTTGACGTGCCCGACTATACACATCAAGCGCGATGCGATTTTGCGACTTTCAAGGGGGGAATTAGATGCATCCCTGGTGGAAGCCAGGAGACTGACACAACACCAGACTGACTGTTTTTCAGTTCTGATTAGACACTAGTGTTGAGATGGCTTTCTGTCATGATAGCATGTACTGAGTCGGGGCCAGTACCAGATAAGCACATGAAACTATAATCCATAAACGTAAGGTAACAACAGAGACCTAATGGTGCTGTGACAGCAAAATGATTGAGTTTGAGACAGTGAAAATACATATGGTATGTTGTATCTGAACAGGTTAGCTTACGAGCTAAAGTTACTTAGCACTGATGAAAGTTAAAACAAAGATGTTTAGCAAACTGTTAAAACACACAAACCATCGTCATATGAGAGATCCGACGCTATGACTCTCCACAAGTTGTCCTTCAGGTCGTTATCTTTGTAATGTTTGTGTTTTTTATCATAAAGCACTCTATTCTCAGACACGTAAACAATCAGCCGGTCAGCCATGTTGGATATACCGGTGAATCTGACATCGCAACAACACGCAATCTGATTGGTCAGAAGTGGACACACAGTATGCGAAACTTCAGACTGTGATCCCAAAAAATAAATGCCGCAATATCGCAGGACGGGAAAAGGTCACTGATGTGAACGCTTGTATTGACAGGATAAAGGTTGAGAAAAAATATATTGACGTCTGAAAAAATCGCATGATAAAAACGGTCCCGGTGTGTAAGGACCTTAATGCTGTTTATGTAAAAGAGAAAAAGGTTAGTGTCATTCTCCTGGGATTAAAAGAGGTTCCATGAAGAGCAGCAACATATCAGTTAATCAAGTCATGACTTCAGGCCTTTGACAGGTTCATGTTACATCTCACTGATCCCCGGCCTTGCAGACTTCAGCTCAGTTTCTTTATATTTGTACACATTAAATCTTAGTCCTCTGGTTCTGATTTAAAAACTGGGTGTAAATTCTGGTGGTCACATTTTATTCCAACGCTATAGTGAAAAAGAAAATCATTATCTACATGTCTATCCATCTGAAGATCGTTAGCGTGAACACATCCCAGAATCACTGTTTAGGAGACGCACTGTTCAAGCAAGTAGTGTGGGGCTGCAGAATAAAATGATGATAATCATTTCAGCTGAATAACTGAAGTGAGAATCACAGCTTGTCTATTGTCGCTTTGCAGTGCGTGGTTTGTCAAATGCTTTTCAATTACAGCCTTTAACTTGAGGCACTATCACATCCCCATGAAGTGATTTTAATGGAGTTTGGTGCAATTGTTTGTTATGCAAGACAGGTCGGAAAGCAGAAAAGAGGAGAAGAGGAATGCAGGGAAAGGAGGCTCGATGCTGAAATGAACTTTGGGCGATAACACGACACGAGCGGCTGAGCAAGGGAGTAGCTGTGGGCTGGGATCGAGTCACTTGCTGTCACTGGTATTTAACTGAACATGTGTATTGTACGATATGAGGGGGGGTGTACTCCTAGGTGTGTGCCTAAAGCTTAAAACATTGGTGCTGTGTTCTGATTTGGCAGATACAGCATTCTGGGCCCTGATTGCTGTCTGTCCTGTCCCACTTTCCCTCCCTGTGAAATGCATTCAGTGTAGCAGCCTCCTCTGTCTGTCCCTAAAGCTCCTGGATCCTCGGTGCACAGGTGCACGACTGCAGGGCTGCACCCCACAGGCCCAGGATGCTGAAACAGGAGAGGCGAGCCGGCACACATGCAGAATTACAACGCCTCCATTTCTCACACTGACATAATCCCCGTGTTTTATTTGTCCCCTTGTAATTCTTTTTATATCTTCAGCTTATGTTCTTTGGCATCCGTTCAATCCCAGCCTCGGGACACGGGGCTCTACCAGGCCCATATGTGTGCCTTGCTCCAGTTAACGCATATTAGTTCCTTTGTAAGTGTGACTAAACTGGCACGTCTCAGCTGGGAGATGTGCCGGCTTTGACTGACAGCCCATGTCTGGATCCTGTACTTTGAGTCTCACGCAGGCTTGTCAAACACGGGCTCTGTCAAAGCAGCCCTCACTCTGCTGTCAGGCTCAGAAACCAGGGAGGGAGCTGCAGACAGATCTCACCTCTGACCACATGTCTCTGGGTTACCTTACACCCTTTATATATGTGTGCGTGTGGGATGCAGAGGGTGAATATAATCACACACATACACAGAGCCAGAATCAGAAGCATGTTGCAGGCGTGTTCTTTCTTTCCCTTGAGAAATTCCTGCGCAAAAAACTAAGTGAAACATTTTTCATGCCTGCGTTGTGGCAAGATTGCCTGTGAGAGAAAAAAGAGGCAGACTTGTATACCCTGATCAGATCAGTCACTAAAATTACATCCAGAAAGCTTTTCCAATAACAGCTTGATATTAGGACTTCAGCGCTCTGTTGATGTATGTTGTCGGCGGAGAAAATCTGTTAAGTCGGTGCCATGTGATGCCAACAGTCTTAAATATTGTTTTCACAACTGTGCAAGCTAATTACCTTTAATTTTTCATCTGTGCTCCGAGGGTTGTAAGAGAGTGTGATTAGTGATTCATTACTTCTCATTACCTGGCCTGTCAAACTGTTTCCTTTACTTATTCAGGCTGATTAGCCGAACATAGCCCGCCTCTCCCAACGAGAGACAGAGAGACCTTAGACGTGGTCTGCAGATCTGCACCTGTAAATAGTCATGATGATGAAGATGACCAGAGGGGCACAAGAGAAGAGATCTGTCAATTTCCCCTAGAATCAACTGGAAGTAAAGTTTTCTGAATCAGGCCCCTGACTCACACGCACTCCTCAAATTTCCAGAAAATTTCTGAAGCTCTAACCACAAAATTTCCAAAAGCTACTCACTCTTATGTGTCCCTTACATAATGAAACTTTCCCCAACAGAGGAGGGGCCTGGATTCATTTTACTTATCTCTCTTTTGGCTTCACCCCAGTCTCATAAACGCCATAATCTTTGTCCTTATGCTTGCCGTGAACATGCCTGAATATTTCCTGCTCTGTTCTCACATCGGCCCACTCTAACTATCTACAGAGACTTAAACCAGCTGTAAATGTCAGTCCAGTCATACTGAAAATGTTGCCTTCGAGTGTTACGTTAACTTAGCCCTCATGAGGTTTGGTATGTGGTGATATCACTTAGTTCTTTGGGCGCTTCCCGTCCAACCCTGGGATTACACCCACACATCTACTTCATAAATTTAACACCTTGTCCTCGTTCACTTTTGACATCCAACATTTTAACTTGATAAATGTCTGTGCAATATGAAAAAAAAAAAAAACTTTTAACTTTCTCTTTCGTAGCTTTACATGCTGTACAGCACAAAATATCTTTTTGGTGTCTCAGGCTTTAAAACCTCATTTGGCCTCTTAAATGTTTCAATTCAGCCACTGTTTCTTTAAGACACTTCAAAGCACTCCAGAGCCCAGAACTCTGGAACATAGCACTCCTGAACCAAGCACTAAAGAATCCAGCATTCTAGAACAAAGTGTTCTGATGCACCTCTTCCCAGGAGCTATTGTTCTGAAACCCTTCATTCCCAGAACCCAGCCTTTCAGAACTCTGAATTTTAAAACTTATATTTCGATTTAGTATTTTAGAGTCCAGAACCTATTCCAAAACAAAGCATTCTGAAATCCAGCATTCCAAAACAAAGTGTTTGGACAGCGTTCCAGAACCCAGGATTTTTAGAAGCATTCCAGAACAGCAAATTCTGAAACACAGTGCCCCAGAACTCAGCATTTTAGAACTCGACCCTCTGGAACCTGGATTGCTAGAACCCAACATTCCAAAACAAAGTATTCTGGAATCCAGAAATTCTGAACTAAACATTCTGGAACCCATCATTCCAGAAGCAAGCATTCCAGAACATTCAATTTATTACATCTGTAGGTATCATCAAATGTTGCATTATACAGCACCTGTCCAGACTTAGAACCAATCAGATTAACGCAGCATGTGACAAAGGGTATCGCAACTGTAACGTGAACTGTGCCATTATCTTGATTAAAGGGTTGTGATTGGTCAGTTTATCTGACATCAAGGAAAAAGGCTCAAAAACTCCACAGTTCCAGACCCTGCATGTCAGAGAAAATGAATTTAAGTTGCCTGATGACTGTGGCAATGCTAGGCTAGATCTTTTTTGTCCCTTTACAAACTTTGAGGATCAAATTTGTAATTAAAAATGCAACTATATCTTAATATTTGTCGTTTCAACCAGAAACACACTGGTTAATCAATGGCGACAACTGTGTTGCACGGCCATAGTGGAGGACGCTTCCAGAGAGGTGTATCCTGAAATCCCTTGAATTGTCTTAAAGGAGTAAGAGAAAATGAGCAGAGATGTTGCAGAAGCTATCAGTAAGTCAACATAAAGTCTGAAAATGTGCAGAATACCCCATCTTTGTTTGTTTCTAAAATAATATAGAGCATTGAACCCCCTCACTAAAGAAGACAGAGAAAGATGTTTGTTTGCTGCAGGTGAACAAGGTGTCATTCAGGGCTGAAGCTTTGGTGGATGAAACACAAATTTGGCTTTTGTGTCTTTTTTACATCTGTCATGTTGATCAGTCTACATGCAGACTGCTGCTTCAAAGAGAAAACCATGGTGCTTCCTTAGAAAGATGAGGCCTAAAAGAGCCAAAACAAGCCCAAGTATGACATTGAGTATGATAGTGACACGTTAACTAAAACATTCATCACCATTAGTAGTAATTAACTAACTTCCCGCATTAATTAAAGGGCCTGCTTTAAGGGAAACAGAGCTTAATTAGGAGCTCTGACAGGATGAGGCCTCAGGGATGATCCATATCCAGAGGGCTGTTGGAGGGCTACAAGTGACAGGATTTACACAAAGCTGCAACTTTTTCAAGCATTTCTGCTTCTTTTCTCACAACTCTGCGCCCTGACCTTGGTCCGGTCACGAGTCGGTCAGGTCCGGCCAGATCCGGCTTGGCACGGCTCTGAAAAACTATTGACAGGTATGACGGGCCTCCGATTAGCCAGTCAGCTGCAGGCCCGCACCTTGTCACCTGTCAGGTAGAAAGATGAAGGGTGAGTGAGCAAGAGAGGGAAAAAAGAGGAAGGGAGGATAGATGACAGCGTTGTTTTAGCGTTAAGGAAAAACAAGAAGCTGCCATAAAAACCACGTGTACATCAGGTCACCTGAGAAGTGTTTGTGAAGCACTTCATCGCCAAAACCAGAGGATGACGAATGTGTGCCCAAAGAATCTGTGATTGGATCTGGGATTAAGGGGCTGCCGTGTCTCTGAGGGAAAACAGACAGGAGACGGATAGACAGAGAGTGGAGGAAAGAGGAAGAGATGAAGGAAGAGGAGAAGGTGGCAGGGGGACAGTAAACGAATGTCAGACTGCCCGGGCAGGAGACGGAGTGGCAGAGTGGGTGGGCTTTGACAGACACATCTCACATAGGCTGACAGCTCCGTCAATAGCCCCAGGATGGCTGCCCTGATTGACAGCTAGCAGGTGGCGCATGAATGGAGTTGTCAGGCCGGCTGTCAGTCAAAGTCACATCGCCGTGGCTACGAGGCCCCGGCTGAACAGGCGCACAGCTGCCCAAGGTGATCTCTGGGTGTGCAGGCGGACTTTTGGCACGGGAGGCTCACATCATGCTGAAATGACCGTACATGGCAGTGGGAGCATGCTGCAGCCGTGCAGAGTTTTCGCACTGGTTTGTGCATGCACGGGTGTTTGCACTCAATTTAGAAAGAGAAAAGATTTGAATGTCCTATCAATGAATCTCTGCAGTTTTTCCATTTCCTTGGTTCCCCTTAATTGAGCATTGTTCCAGCACGAGGGCATGAAGCAAAGGAGTTAATGGGCAATAATTATATGTGAGAGAGCCTTTCTCCCTGGAGTGGAATCCAGAACAAATGGAAGCTCCGATGTGCAACATTCAGCTTCATTACATCTGCCGCGATTAAAGCCCGAACATCTGGCACCACATCCTGACAGATAGACAAGACTTCTGGACTGGAAGGGAAATCGAGCGATATTTACAAAAATGTAACACGGGGTATTTACTGGATGAGAGAACAAGTGCTGTGGGCAGGCAGGTTTGTCTCCCTATCACACCAGTCTTGCTCTGACGGATGCGAACGGGAGGAGCAGGTTTGACGAAATGAACAGCAAACAGGCCTGCTGCACTTTCACATCACATGGACTTTATTATTATCATGGTTTTTATTGTTATTATTATCATTATTATTATTATTATTATAGGCAGCTTTTTGCTACAGATAAATACGCACTGTGGCTCTTCAAGTAAACACTGGAATGTACATCAAGGTTGGCTGTTAACATTTTTAACCATTTCAATCATCCTAACCCTGCTGAGGTGAAGCTAAAACAATAATCATAACGGTCTGTGTCTGTTGTTGCCATGACAACATCAAGTCCCACAGAGTGATGTCATGCCAATCTGGTCTCTCCCCGGTGCTCCGTTATCTCCTGTGATGCTGGGAATCGGTCTGGGGGGCCTCTGAGGTGCATGTGAGCGGCGGAGGCGGCGGTCTGGGTACAGGCTGTTGTCGAAGGGTTTGCGGTGGACGCAGAGGACATGTGTCTTCAGGTTGCCCTTCTGGGAGGCACTGTAGGGGCAGTACCTGCACTGGAAGGGCTTCCGGGCTGGAAAATAAAAAAGACAGAAAAGGGGATTTAAGGGTTAGAAGGAGGCGTTTGACCTCCACTAGGTTTGAACAATAAACCCCAAATCTCTTTTTAACTTTACTTGGTGTTATACGGGGGCAGCTGAACGTGGAAACACAAAAACAGATCTCTAAAGCTAGAAAGAGCCGTCACTTGACCTATGGTACAGAGAGATTCAAGAAGAAATCAGAGTGATCTTTTAACAGAGTACAAAAAGCTAAAGAAAAGAGAGGAAAAAAGACAACTCAGTTTAAATGTTCAAAAATCCATGTATTGCATTAATCTGACTAAGACTGGACTTGTAAAATACATGGAAACATGTTAGTCCGACTGAAATTTATGCTGAAATGACTGAAACTGATTGAAGAGTTTGGTTCATGTATGCACAATGAGTTTTGACAAAGTAGCTGACCAGCATAAATGCATACAATGGGATCTCCACGCACAGATAATATACTCGGTTGTCTGTTGGTTACAGGATGGTAAATTAAAAAAAAAAAAACACACAAAAAATGACTCCGCTGCAACATTATTGTGAGAGAACCATGTATGTTGCTGATTTCCTTCAAACAACTGGCGTCATTTGCAGAATTATGTGAGTGCACAACACAAAACAGGGTTGTTTAAAAACCAACGGAAACCACACTCAAGTCCGTGTACACCCAGTCACTGTTGCTTCCACAGTAGGAATTTAGTGTCATCAGAGTTTTGAAAATGAATGTGAGTGAGCCTAAAGTCCAGGTAACACAAACCTGAATGAACTAGTTTACAGTTACCCTTTTTTGAAAAAGGGAACTTGAAAAGGGAACCCAAAGTTCATCATCAGAAAATTGAAGTAGTTGATATAATTTTTTTAGCTGGACCTAAATTCTCTATCAGCTGAGCCCCCTAAGCTTCAATCCATCACCAAAAGATCTCAATGCTGATTGGTTTTCCCCTCGCAAAGTGATTTGCTGTTGATCAGATTTGACAGCTGCCAGGAATAAGCAAATAAAGCAAGCAGAGTGTAGAAGGTGTCACAAATTTTTAGCTATTTTGTGTCAGCTAGACCAAGCCCTACATTTGTATCATGAAAGGACTTAACGTTTAATTATATCTTTACATTACTTATACATCCAATTTCCTCATGAGCGTAATTTTATTTGGATGCTGCTGGAGCCCTGAGCTACTCAAACCGCAACCGTTTTCTGAACCAGGCTGTAAAGGTTTTTATTTTTAATGTAAAAGTAGGCTTTTCTTGCCTAAGTGTGCGTGCAGTTTCTGGTGCTTCTGCAGTCAGTCTCTAGTGGACACTCTGAGAATTGCAGTTTTTTGTGTCAGCTTCATTTTTCAAGACCAGAGGTTGCTGCTTAATTAACACTAAAAGCACTTGCGTATCATTTTTTCACTTGCTGACAGTCCTGCTCACCACTCCAAATGGTAGAATAAAATGGAAAACTTGGTCTATATGGGAAATTTGTCTGGAAAGATGCCTTTTTTTAATATCTTACTTTACAAAGCAGCAGCCCTAGTTCCATTGAAAACTTCACTGAATGTTGACAGTAAACGTTTTCATTTGGTGGAAATCTTTGGAAAAACAAAGAGGATGTGGTTAAGCTCTGTAAAGCTTTTGATCATAATTCAGGGTAACAAACGTAACTGTTGGTGAGTAAGTTTTCCTGTGTTTCAGTCCAGATGTTTGCAGGTGAGAAGTTAATTTGGGCTTCCTGAAACAACCAGAGGAAAACGAAACCACATAAACTCACAACAGGACTCAAACAAGTTTCTCCGAAAGTCTGACTCTGATTCCGCCTCATGATAACAATTTACACTCCGCAACTTTGAGCAAACACTGCAACACTTCACAGTCTGACAGCTTTTATAAAACGGCCTGAAAGTCCTCATTCATTGTAACACATTTCCTGCTCACAACACAAACACAGCCACATCCATGCTCACTCACACACACACACACACCTACACACACACAAATAAACGCACACACACAAGTGTTGAGCTGAGGAATGACAGACGTCTGCAGCTGGGAGGCGAGGCATGCCAAAACTTCCTGCCTGTCCCGCTCTTTGGCTGCATGACTCTCTGAAAACACGACGAAACACACACGACTGTAGCTTTAAGATACGGACAACAAACACATCGCTAATAACTTCCACAAGTTTATCTGACCTCAATGAGAACCATCATGACACCAAAGCCTGGAGGTTTTTGTACCATCAAACCAAGAGCTCTGTGTGTGACTCATTTACCTGTGTGTGTGTGTGCCAGTGTGAGTGTGTGTGTGTGTGTGTGTGTGTGTGTGTGTGTGACAGCCGTGTGTCCTTGCTGCTATTTTTGAGATGTTACCTCATGATGTCTGTCCAACTCTTCAATGTGTTTCTCTGTGATTCATGCTTACAGTAAACCATTATGTGCTGATGTCATTTGACATCACTTCCCAAAAACTGAGGGCTGTCTCAGCCTTTTCACCCCCTCCTCTTCCTCTCTGTTTGCTCCTCATCAGAGCTCAGACAGCTGTAGGCAGCTGAACACTCACTTTCACATCTACATAAAAAAGGTGTTTTTGGGGGGAAAAGTGGGAAAACTCACAGAAGGTGTGAGCAATAAAAGGTAATGCTCCATCTGTTGGTGTATAATAACCTGATGGCCGTAAAGGACACACAGGCACACACACACACACACACACACACACACACACAAACACACACAGCCGTGCGCGCGAACACACACACAGTAGTCAGAGAAAGGAGAAGACCTGACACATCTGAATATCATCAGGATGGCACAGAGAGAGAGTGTGCTAGAGAAAGAGTAATCTCACTGAGGAGAAAGGAGCCATCTGAGAGGAACAATAGGAAAGGAAAGAAGTGAAGCTTGACAAAAAGCAGGTACAGAGCAGTTTTAGGGGCGTGTACAGAGGGGTCACAGGGGTGGCATTCAAATCTGAAGACCAATTCAAAACTATAAATCATGATCTCCTTTCAGAATTTCCTTCAAAAATCCTTTTTACAGCTGCATTGCGACCATAGACTCTATAAAACATGGACATATTCACCACAACGTCACCTACTGGTTGCTGAAGAGGCTTGTTGAAAGGCTAGAGATGACAGCAGCGCTGGGCGATTAGTCCTTAGATCAAAATCCCAAATATTTTACCTCAGTTACAATGACTCTTAATTTAATGACCAAGATCTCAAGCTGTAGGAGTCTTAATTAGTGGTCGGTACAGTTCCATATTTCTATTGTGGAGAATGGAAATATGGAAAACATCTAACATGTGCAACTATTACTATGTCCGTTTTGTGGTAAAGTTTATCACAGGCCATCTCTGTAGAGTGTGCTATAGTTTTGTCTTATTGTGATTGAGATTAGCTAACTGTTAGAATCTCCACTCACTGCTGCACACAGCTGCACAGTGCACTCTAACCCTGACAGAGACTAAGTCAATCCACTCATGGTATATGATATATTGTGTTATATTGATAAGATGGCTGGAGAGTGAAAGTTCAAACTATTTTACGATTGAGTTTAAATGTGAGGGATATTAATGGTTTATATTTATGTTTTTTCCCGGAGAAAGTGAGCCAAAAACACTTTGAGAATAAGTAAATGCTCTGCTGTGCATAATGGCACTGTAACAAAGCTGAGTTTGCCCAACAGAGTGAATTTAATAAGAAAATAAAGTGACACCAACGAAAATAATGTGGCTCAAACTTTGTTGTTTTCAGATTACAGAAACAACAACCGCTCCACAGCAGAAGCCAATCAGTCATTTTGGGTTAAAGATTGTGGAGTGGTCATTAAAATGGCAGCCATATTTCAGAAGGGGGCATGGACACCACTGGCTCCGCCCCTGATTTCAGCATGGGTTTTGCCAGTGCAGTTCCCTTGGCTTTTGCAGTCAGCCTCCAGTGGACACTTGAGGTACTGCGGTGCTCTGCACTCTTCTGCTGAGGTTAGGTTGTTGCTTGTTTTCGACAAGCTGCCGGTAGTCTCCGTTGCATTTAAATTAAATCTGTCACAAAATCTCACTTATATAACCACATGCTGATGATTCCATATTTATTAACAATTCAAAGCAATCCAGTGTCTCAACATGAGAGTAAATTTAATGCAGTCGCTTACCACCTACTTAAAAAACCACTGCAGTAAACTTTGTTGATTTAGTTTCAGCTCCTCACATCCAAGGTTAGGCCAGCACAATATAGCAAAAAGCAATATAGTTTTCCATAACATAATTTAGAAAAACACAGTGTTTTTCAATGCAGTGTATTGTGAGTGTTTGAAAACAAAAATTTCAACAGCACAATTTACTTGTATTTTCTGCTTAGGGTTACTACTTCTATTACACTGTGGTTAGCCGTCTTACTACTGCTCTGACACCTTCATAGACAGACAGATAAGAGACAAGAGAAGCAGTCTCATATGCAAAAATAATAGCCAACAGAAGAAGGTGATTATTGGATATCATTTCTGGCACAAAAAAAAAAAAAATCTGTCTCATGCATTCCTCATGTTTCATATCTAGGGGTAGAGGCAATATCATTCTACCCTGGTCACCTGATTTATCACACTTCAGTTCTTTCGTGTTTTAAGCCCTCTGTCGTTGCATTTAACTATCATTCTCTTTATATTTTTCTGATGCGTTTTATGTGTCATTGCATGTAAATATGAGGCTCCTGTACATATATGTTTATTCTGTAACTCTGGTGCAATCTAACACTAGGATATCCCTCAGAGTTTTATTTTTTAATCCCACTGATTGAACCGTTTTAACAGCTTCTCCTTGAATAGTTGCACGCTCTCACACTGTCACATCAACATCCTAAATTGAACACATCCATTGTGGCTCCAGAGCAGATTTCCTTCATGGTTAACCCATGTAAACTCAGACAATGTTAACAACCCTGCAGCCTGTTACTCTTTCATAAAGTCTGTTAATAAAAAGCCAAAAGGTCTCGCATCAACATCAGTCGCTTGTTGCCCTTCTTGTCTTCCCCTCCCTGCCTCTATAGTATCTCCCTCCTCCCCCCTCTCCTCTCTCTGGGTCTGCTGTTCTGTCTCCCTCCCTCCAGAGGAGAAGGGAGGTCCGAGAGAGGGCAACCTCCAAATAAGTTCCATTAATCACCAGCCAGAGTCTAATGTAACTAATATTTTACAATTAGAGGAGACAGCAGCGGGCTCAGAGCCATCCATCTCTTCACCACATGATCCTCCATTCAGAGGCTGTGAGAGTCCGACCAGACGCACACATAAACACACACGATCACTGACACACACACACACACAAACACACACTATCAGACACACACCTCCATACATGAACACTTGCACAGATGCACGATTACACAGGAATTGACAGGAAATGAGAGGGGTGGGTTTGCGCAGTAAAGAGCAATGAATGATTACTGACATTGGACTGTGTTAAAGGACAATTCCACTCTTTTGAATGTTAGATGTTATATAATCATAACCTTCAGATACAACAGAAGGCCTGTACATATATTCAGTTATCTGCAACAGTGAGATGAACACAGTATTAGCGGTATTAGTGGTAGTAATAGCAGTGTTTTGAAAACTCTGACGCCTCTGGTTGGTGTTATTTTTGTCTTTCTATTTCCAGTAAACACTCACACAGTTATTTAAAGCAGACTTTTCTTAATGCTAGAGTTTATCTAAATGTGCACACTGTAAACCTGGTGATCAGGGATTGAAGTCAAATTTTCACCATGAAAATTAGGGGCCTTTTTGAAGGTCCTGGTGTGACACATATGCCTTACTTCTAATGCAGCTTTCTTCAGGGTAAGAAACTCCTATAATATTTTAATATGTTGTTACCATGTTGAGTGATTCATACAGTAACAGATTTGTTCCAAGGTAACAAAATAGGTTTAAAAATCACAGATATAATGAAAAAGTGAAATTGTCCTTTAAAAGTGTTTCAACTGTACTGTTTGAGTTTTTAAGCTTCAGGAAGGAGGTTTTTTATTATCTATGAAATAGAGTGAAATTCATTTTAATGCCTTTGCCAAAAGCAAACCTGACCGTCAGCAACAAGACTAACTTCCCTATACCAACATTTTTAAGGCAAGAAGGTAACGCAAGACATCAGCTGAGGAGCTGAAAGAACAGTCTTAGTATTTTTATATTTTCCATTAAAAATATTCACCAAGAATGTTACTGTCTAAAGTTAGCGAGATGATATTTCTACTGAGACATGTACAGTAGAGCAAATAATAAGCAATGATATTTTTTTCCCAAAGGGGGCGTCAAAGTTCATGCTGAAACAACATTTCCTCACAGGAGCTTTAAATTGTGTATAGTATTATGGTTCAACATATGTGACCTTTCAAATCAATCAATCAATCAATCAAATTTTATTTATATAGTGACCTTTTCAACTTTTAATCACTTAAAAAAGTTTTTCTTTCCATTTTGTCCACTAATGAAAACCTTTCAGATGACCATTTTAATAAATAAATAAAAGGCTTTATTTAGATTGTAGACAATTTTAGGGCTGACATGTATTTTTACAGTCAGTGTTTGTATACTTTGAATGCCTTCTGTGTATACAACACAACATAATGAGGAATATTTCACTAAAAGTGAGCACCAAAACAGGCTGTATTTTATTTCATTTTAGTTTGGACTTAAAGTTAATAACATAAAAATCAAACAAAACAAACTGTATATTTTGTTATTTCAGTGCTTGTACGTCCACTTGTGTATATATCTGCACCTGCACGCATATGTCCCTGTGTGTGCTGTTGGATTGTCTGTCTGTGTTGGTGTGTGTTTGCGGTTGTGTGTGTCACAGGCTGAGATAATGACCATGATGACAGTGGCGGGGCCGACGGGGGCCAGAGGAGCTGAATGGTGACGGATGACGCCGGCCTGAGCTCTGATGGCGCACAGACAGTGAGTGATGACCGCACATCCTTCCCTCAGCTCCACCCTTCATTATCTCTACGGGGAGAAGCTCGGCACAAAGGCAGGCCTCTCGCGCTGCCCTCTCGCTGCCCTCAAACGACATCTGCTCATGGAGACAGCCGCACTACCGCTCTTCTTTCACCTCGCTGTCGCTCCATCTATCTCCATCTATGGTGATCTTCTTCTCGCTCCTTTTTCTCTCTCCTTTTCTCTGACTCCCTCTCTGCCGAGGCTACACACAGGTCAGACAATGAGATAATGACCCCGGCCTTTCAACCTTTCAAATCTGGACCCTTTCTTTCCCTCTGTTCATCCTCTCTTCATTCTTTATCCTTTCTTTATCAATCTTCTCATATTCACTCGCTCTCATGAGTCTAAGCGGCCTGATCTGAAGTCACAGAGGAGACACAGGGGGCTTTAGTAAGCTGGGTGGATGTTTAAAGGTTTGGCCTGTGTGATATGAGGAAAACATTATATTATTCAACTCTGAGATAGGAGTCTGAAGATCATCGAACAAACAAATGTTTGAGTGCAAAGTAGCTTCAAAATTCAAATTTTTTATGTCCCTCTGTGAAAGCTGCACATCTGTGGCCAAAATGATACAATTTTTTGTATCTTACACAAATATTAATAAAGTATTATCAATACTGCAATCATGATTATGTAAAACATATTCAGTAATCTTAAGGACCTTTATTTTTACCGTTTTTATTATTGTTTGTGAAGGCCTCTCAAAATCATGTGTATGCTGCGTCTCATTTATTTCCAGGAACAAAAAATCTCATACAGCTTTTTTAGGCTGACCTAAATATTTGATCACAACCAAGCAATATTTTTTTTTTACTTTGACTTGAAATTTCAGTACAATGGACCAAAAAAGACTTTTTGCATTTGGCCTTTGTTTTTCAAGAGCAGGTATTTTGCTCATTTTCAGGCGTTATATTGTCTTTCTGATACTTTTGTCATCATTTTATATCATTTAAAGCTAAAAATAATCTTCCCTTAATGTCCTTAGAAAACTCAATAAAACTTTAGTCTAAAATACTTTAATTTAGCAACTGTCTCTTTAAAACACTCAAAGCATTCTAAAATCCAGGATTTAAGAATCCAGTACTCTAGAACTCTCTTTCACTATTGCCAAGTTCCAAATCAGAACCTGTTCCAAGTAGTAAGAGCCATTAATATAATTTATCCTCAACAGGTCCCTCATTGGTGCTTTGTACACAGTTGTACACACTTTTAAAACAAAAACATGGCATGTGACATTGCATCATGAAGGACAGAGAGACAACCACAGAGTGAAAGAAGTCATCATTTTAGACAGATGGACAAAACCCTGTCATCATATACAACCTAATGTTCTTGTGTTTATAGTATCAGTTTTGAATGTAGTTCAGAATGATACATCGACTTGCTGACAAATCTGCTTATTTTGTGTGTTAAATTGTGTTTGTGTGATAATCCAGGAGCCTTTCTATCCCACATAGAATATCACTGTATGTTTTCAGAGACTGTCCACATCCAGTCCCTTTAAAAAAACAAAAAAGTTTCTGCAATAAATTATTGATAAATGTGATTGAAATAGTCTACAGTAATTGTCATCTCTATTGTTAGCTAATTCAGCTACACAGAGGCTGTTGTCTTTGTCTTGGTTTGTTGACCAGTCAGAGGCTGTATCTGGGATCAGCTGACATGTATCGGTCCAGTTCAACCCCCAGACTCAGACAGCACAGATGAACTCTATCGGCCTACTTTTTCTTTACACTAGAAATCCATAAGAATAGACGAGAAAATCAGTAATGAATTAATGATGTAGGAATAAGTACAATTGACCATTTCCTATTCCTACTGAGAAGACTGACTGAATGTTTGATACTCCCATTTATAGTTTACCTCATAATTTAATGTAAAATGTTGTCCACATTTAGTATAGTATCCAATATTTTAACAGCATTTTTGTTTGTCAGTATGAACAGTCCTTTACTGCAGTTATATAATCTGATATTTCATCATGTGGTTTGTATAACCAGACCTCATGTATGTTTTACAAACTATTTTAATCAACAACCACATACACATTCCTAGGATGGAGCATACCTTTAAAATGTCAACAATTATTGTCAACTTTTTAAATGCGGGAAGGCCAAAATCATGCATGCAATTAAAATTTGTTCAATTGCGTGGCCCTATCATCTGATGCTCTTCATGTTTTACACACTACCTGTATTTGGAACATGAAGCAAAGATGGATTCAAAAAGCAGTTTGACACCATTTTTAGCACTAATTCATCTGAGTGTAGCTGGTAGTTTGGCTTCATCTGAGTGTGTTAGTATACTGTGAAAGCGTGAACATCACACTCCGAACTCTGCATGAACAGAAGAAAAACATTCATTGCATGTTAACAGGAAATCAGTTACCCTATTTATTGTCACCAATTAAAACTTTTGCACTGTTTGTGATAAAAACACTCACACTGTCATAGTGATGAAAATGCAAACTCATAAATAAAATGATGTGAAGCATTTAGGTGCTCTTTTAGGATAAAGACGGGGGATAAATGGCGAATTAATAAGTGACTGCCCAGGAAGTGTGAACTCCTCTGAGGCATCATCGGGACATCAAAATTGTGCAAAATCACAAAAATTATTCTTAGAAACTCCATCCAACATGTGAAATGTGCATATGCAGATTTAGAAAGCATTGTATGTTAACATGATTCATTTATCCTGTTCGTAGTGATTAATTTAATGCAAATGCTCTTTCTGTGATATTAGTCTTTGTTTATTTATTTGACCTTCATTTAGCTAGGTTAGTCCCATTGAAATCAGACGTCTTTTCCGAGGGAGACCTAGGCAAGACTTACAGCAACACAGAGTACCATCAGCAGGACAACCAAAGTAAAGGGCCACAACCGACTTCAGCTAAAATCAGTGCATACAAAAAAACAGGCTTTCAGATTTTTAACAAGGGATTTAAATACAGTCAAGCTAACTAAGTCTTGCAGTTCAAAATGATAATAATAGGGGTGCAGATAAAAAGCATGGGTGCGTCACTGGGTCAAATAAAATGCAATAATGATGTTCAGTAGTAAAGTGCTCTTTGAGGATAAAGACAGGGATTAAATTGCAAAGTAAATACAGACGGTGTAGAAAATTTGCAAAGACAGTCTAAACTGTAAAGCTACCTGTTTCAGTATAAGATTCCTGCGTTTAACAGGGAGGTCTCTGCAGGTTTTGACTCAATTGAGTCTTCAAAAGGACATCAAAATAGTGCAGAAGTATCACACACACAACTTTACCCAGCAGGTAAACTGTGAGTAGGAATTGCATGTTAACACTAAATTCCTTTTTCCTCCTCCTTGTGATAAAACCAGACTCTTACAGTACAGTAATGCAGATGCTCTTAGTGTAATAACCTTGAAATTGTGTTGTCATGCAGTCCTCTTTAAGTCTCAAGGCCTGTCTTGGTCTGCGTCCTCAGGGATAGGTGTCCTAAATGTGCCTGTGAAATAAAGCCAGGTGCAGAATTACAAGGAGGATTTTTAGCCGCTGGTCTCTTTTCAGTGGTAAATGTTGCCCTCTGGTGGTTGACATTAAACAGTGCAGGGATGAGACTATGCATTTAAAACACAGGGGAGGGCTCAGGGAGACTAATGAGCATGCAGACAGGTTCAACCAGAGGTCACCATCTGGCCAATTACCACTGCTGGCACATTGGAGCCGACCTGAACTGTCATCACAAACACATCACTCCATGTCCAAACTGCCCGGCAATATGTCAGCGTGCCACTCGACGTGCCGTACAGTATGGAGAGGACGGGGGCAACAGGAGACAGCCCCATGACAAAGCCACCTGGTCAGCTCTGCAGACAGGACAGGCTGCCGGGCCACCTGCCACGCTCAGGTTTGGAGGACACTCGATGGACTCTCAATGTCAGCCGCTCGTCTCAGTGTCCGGTTTGACTGTCAGGTGTTTATTATGTCTTTGACGTCAACTTCCTCAGGGAGGGGAGGAGAGAAATTAAGGAGGCTAAAACAAAAGGCGAGGGATGCTTGAAATAACTCCTGCAGCAAACGATGGAAAGATCAGGTTGCTTTAAACAAAGAAACTGATTAACGCTTTATTCGAGGTCAGAAACTTTCAATGGTGCCAATTGTTTGTAGATTTTATGGAGGAATTAAAAGCACGAGTTTTGCTCAAGACAAGTCAAAACTTGCAGCTTTCCCAAATTCTTCTGACTCAAATCTGAATGTAATCAAAGCCTCTAAATGTAATTCTTTAAAGCCGCTTATGAAACAGACTGAAGTTGGTACTGATGCCTCTATATGACAAATGAATACTTAAGACACCATGATCGAAAAGATTGATTATTGCCTGACATCGTCTCTGCAAGAAGATACAAAGTCAATAAACAGCCTCAGTTTACATTTTTCACAGCAAAGATTCACAAAAAGACATCTTTGACTTATAAAAGACTTTAAAGGAGGTTTTATGTTCAAACGCTGCTTGTCAAACTTGAAGTCAAGACATGCAAATGGACTTGAGAGCATCAAAAAGACTTCTTAATCTGTCTGAAATCTTAAAGTTTCTGAACGAATTAAGGGTCTGGGATAAAATAATCTGAAAAATATCTTAATCATTGTGTAACTGTTTGACTAAATGACAAAATTTGGTCTGTTCATTCATTTTGTAAAACCCAATTAAAACCGGCCCTGAGAGTCCAAAGTTTCCCACACATAGAGGTCCAGTTGATATTATAATAATACTATAATGATGATCATGTTGTGTGAATTAGACACTTATATTTTCAGTAATCATGTCTTATATATATCCTATAGGTAGTAAGAGAGAGTTGGTTTAACATTAGACTTGTTTTTGTTTTTTCTCGTATAGACAGATGTCTGATGAGTTGAAGAAAAAAAACCTTCAACAAAGTTTTTAAAGGTCTCTCAGGTGTGATGATGGTTTTCAAAGCAAGTCTACAGTAGGTGGTTAAATCCAGAGAAGTGTAATGATCCAAGCAGTCAGTTCATGATCTTACTCTCAACAAACCAGTCAGAATAAAAGTGAACTAGGACCCTAAATCCACGATGTGACGTGTTTGACTTTAAAGACTTCAGGGGGAGATTTTCTTTTAACACACATCTCATGGTCTGAGGGCGACTTCAGGTCAAATTTGAGGTAAAGACATTTACAGGCAGACTGAACTGTGTGCTGTGCTTTCAAAATGCTACTAGATTCCTCCGTGTTTGTTAAAGTTTAGAGGTGATCGAAAAAAATATATCATATCAGATTATATCTCAGTTGTTTTGAAGGTGTGTTTACAGACTTTATTATATGTGTGACGCTCATTCTGTTTAAACACAATCAGACTTTAGGAGTCCAGAATGTCCCATGAATAGAGATTTCTCTGTTAGAAAAGTAAAACAACAACAAAGTGAACGAATAGAAGCTGTCATTCAGACACGAGATGAAAATAAGGCACATTTAATCCAACACCTCACACTAACAATAAGAATAAGAGTTTTATAATCTTTTAGTTTGTTTTCTGGTTAGTTTGTCTAACTCAATTAAACTTTTTTTTTAAACTAGATGTCGTCACAGTGCATCAAAATAAATCTATCTGCTTTAAAAGAACTACTTATTTAAGCCTCAACCTGAATACAACAACAATTAAATAATAATAATAAAAATAATAATAATAATAATAATTGCAAGCTAGTGCCATATAAACTTTTGTAACTCATTTTTGTTTTTACACATTTTTGTATGCTTCAAAATATTGTTGTCTTTATTGCCAAAACTCCCCCAAATTTTAAATTAGTATATTTTTTCATTTATTGCACATCTTAAGAATACATACATATCTACAAAATATATAGGTATATAGCTTTGTAACTTTGACCTAAGTTAAACAGACAGATACTTGAACCACATACTCCTGTTTATCACTAAAAGATTTTAAGTTAATAAACAAAACACACTATCACCCAAAAATGATCTCACATTTTAATTTCACTATCACTCATAATTGATAATCAAACTTTAATGCTGTGTGTTGCTGCAAAATGAAAATAATGAATTTCTACATAAACACTGAATATTTGAAAATAATGGGTAATAACCTATTTAGTAAATCTATTTGTACCATTAATTTGATCCCAAATTATAACTGTTTTTATTTATTTATTGTTTCATCTAAAAACAACCAGATTATTAGGGGGACATTCTGAGCGTGCTTCACAGCCTAGTGTGAGCATCTGTCACAGTGAGGAGCAGAGTGAGTGGAGAGAGTGTGTTCTAACTCCTCCTGAATAAATCAATATGCCAATAATTCATTATAAAATTAATTGGTTAATTATAAATAAATCCTTTTTGAAAAATTCACAGTTGCTAAACCTGAGAGTAATGTCTATATTTGAGAAACTCTGAGTCTTCTTAATATTTGTAATATTTCTGTGTGGACGAAAAAAAAACTCAGATCGACATCAGATCATGTTCTTACTACAAACAAACTCCTCAGGGTCTGAATAAGAGTGCACTGATACCCACCTTTACAGGGGTCTGATTGTAGGGTTTGCACCAAGGTTTGATTGACAGCTTTCACACAGCACAAACAAAACCCTGCCAACTCGGCAAATGGACTTCAGCTTGTTTCAACCAGAGCTAACAGGTTAAAAGCACCATAACGCCCGATATTCAATTGCTTCTGACTTTTTTGCAAACACATGATAGCTGTCATGCATTCAGAACATGAGTTAAGTGCTGCAGAGTTGCAGGGCCTCAGAAACCAAAGCCTGGCATTAATTTCTGTGCAGGACCTGCACTGTAGCAAACTTCATAGGTCTATGTACGTACACAGAAACCTGCAGCACCTCCTCATAAATGTGACAACACACCAAAAGAACCAAGAACTCAAGCCCTGTGATTGGTCCATTTGGTAGTGACATCTTCCCTCTTTTCATCTTAACAATTGTAGCTTGACTGACTGCTGCACAACATACAGTATATGAGCTCCATCTCACACATTTTACACTCAGATTCAGTGTGATCGTGTTTTTGTGTTTCTACAAGAATTTGTCGTTTCAATGAGGATAAAGATCACACCGCTGATATAGTTCAGGCACAGTACTGCAGAGTGACATGAACACTCCAGTTCACACATACTTATGATGGTATCAGTCACTACAGAGTAGCTCAGGTGTAGAGTCAACACAGAAGTATAAACCATTGTATGAACCTGCACTTATATTAAAATCATCTACATGGCTTGTGACTCAACAGGCTGGCACTACTTCCTTTCCATTTCAAAGTGGAGCATTTCCTGTTGTTGGTACTTCAGACTTTGATGATAAACATCTTCTTTGCGAGGGGTCAAAGAGTTAAGTTCAGCAATGAGTTCAAATTTTATGTTCATGTATAAATCTGCAGAACAAAATGGAAATGTATCTGGGACTGTTATGTTCCCAAAAACCCAAATTGTACTGTGCATGTGCGAAACGTACGTCACTTGCATTTTACTGCAGCTCGTTGCTACTATTACTACCTACCCGATCCATACTGTGCACGTGCAGATGAACACGTTATTTAAACTACAGATCGGTTTCAGAAACCAGCTGGCGATGTGACAAGCTAGCTAGCAGGAGGCTCCAGGGCCTGGTCAAAATTATGGTTCTCTGACTTTTCAAAGTATCAAGGGGGGGTTTATTTCATTCATTTTATAAATTAAATTTATTAACAAGAAGCCTAATCATTATTGACAATGAATTTCAGCGTTTGTATACAGCGTTTTAATTTCAACAATGAAATATTCACATTCATTCAAGCCTTTTATAACTACGTTGCAATTTCACAATTGAGCTGTAGTAAGAACCGCTAATCATGAAAATGGGCGCCATTCTCTTGACTTTCAGTCAGGGTAAGCACTCCATTCAGGAGAAAAGCGCGTGGCTGGTGATAAACTGAAGCATCAATTCTGACTGAAGCGAGTTCACTGATGCTGAAGCTGTCAAACAAACATCGAAGCTGTTGCAAACCGCAAGGGGCAAAGAATTGCTGAGCTGCTGCAAAGATGGCTAGTAGAGGATGTGACGTACGTTTCGCACATGCACAGTACAAATCGGCTTTCCCGGGACAGATTAGGTAGCGACAGGCTGTAGAACTTTGACAATCACCAGACCCAGAATTAAGATCAAAGTAGCTGCATCCAGCCCAAGTGCTCAAGTGTGACCCCTGGAGGTATCCTCCACTAAGACAGGAAATGCATGGTGAAGTATGAGTACTATTATCTTTGTGATGTTTAAGCAAATGCAAGACTCCACAGGATGTAAATATACAAAAAGAACAAAAAGAGAAACATTGACAAAATTTGGTCTTCAGGGGGCGCTAAAGTCAACATGAACCTAAAATTCTCCACAGGAGCTTTAATTTAAGCAGCATTTTGTGCATAAACATTACGAAGAAACACACAGAAAGTGTGTGCTTTGACAGAGATGAGGGTTTTCGTTTGGGCACATTTTAACAACCATCTGTACAATCCAACAGAAAACTACATCTTGCTGTTTGAATCATAAAGAAAGGGAACAGATGTTAATCCCTAATGGAGTTGACAGGCACTTTCCTGTCTTTCACATGAACATATTGAGTTTCTGAATAAGAAGGGGATCAGAGGGAAGGTGTATCATGTTGCACTCATAATACATGCATATCAAAGACCCCAGCTGTTGGATTCCCTCTCCTGAGAGACAGCATTATTAAATCTGCACTCAGCAAGCATATCACACCAGCACAAGAGCTTAAGCCACTCCATCGGGGGGCTCCATCAGCTCGGGCGATTTGTAACCTATCACACCAGGAGATTATATCATGCTTTAAAGTGTGGGGTAATCAGTGGCACACACCTGTGTCTTCTTCAGCCCTGATTTCAGACTCAGATCAGATCAGAGAAGAAAGATAAAGTGTTATAAGTATAAAGGAAGTGAAGTGTTTGTAATTGGCAGGATTTATTCACACTCACTCCTCACACTTCTGCTGTTAGGTGACGAAGGCTGAGCGACTGATGAAAACTTTTTCTGGGATTTGATATCAGCATCCATGTGGCTGACAAAGTCGCACTCATCAGCTGCTTATATAGATATTTACAATCAAGTTGACTAAATATAAACATCTCCTGTCCCCTGTTGCTACACTCCTTCACCTTCACCGCTACGGAGCAGAGCCAAAATGGTGTTTGTCCACTAGGTGGCAGTAGATGTCTTTAAATCTCATGCAGCTGTGGCAGCAGCTTGATAAGTAGATGCATTTAACATACATGACACAAAAGATGATGCTCACCTGATGCAACATCCCTCTCCGAGTCCCCTCCTCCATTCTCGCTGGTTTTGTGCGTCCCTGCAGGCGATCCGCTCAAGCTCCCCTGGGTCCTTAGAAAGGAGAGCAGGCTGCCTGGCTGCAGCTGGTCGGCCTGTCCTGGAGTCAGGGTCTCCAGAGAGGTGATGGGAGAATCAGACATGGCTCTGCTCCAGGGGCCCAGTTCATCTACCTCCCCGTTGTTTTTCAGCATCTTCCACTTGGCCGCTTCGTTGTTTTCATCCTCTCTCTTCAGCTCTGTTTTCTCAAATTCACCTTCAGCGTCTGCACTCTGTGTGTTCATGTCGTCTTCTGTTCCCTGCACCAAAAGGTCACTCTGGTATGAAGGTTTCACGCAGAGTTCGGTTGCAGTGTTGGGGTAACTTTGCAGCCGACGGGCAACGGAGGAAGAGGAGAGTCCGTTACTGAAAACACTTGAATGAGACAACACAGACTCTGTCCTGACTGACAGATCTAAAGGTTCGTACTGGGACTTCCTGGTTTGAGCAGAGATTTCTCCTCCTGCGTCTCTGTCAGGGCGCTCGGCCTGCTTATTGACAAGCAGGGAGTTCTCGCTGTGGCTCTCCAGACCGTGATAGAGACCTGCAGCTGGGCTCCAGTCCTCCCTGGACCTGGGTCTGAGCTTGTGGTTGGGATTAGGGCTGGAGCTCTTGCTGCTGGCGTGCTGCAGTGGTGAGGAGAGGTCTCTGCTGGTTTGCCAGGAGGGGAAGTGGTAGCGATCCAGATGAAAGCCCAGGGAGGCAGACTGTGCAGCGGTAAAGTCGGAGGAGATCGGACACCTGTAGACTTTCTCACCTGAGACAGAGAATAACAGCAGACATAACAGGATCTGGATTAAATTAGGAAACAGTGTATAAGAGGCAGAGTGAGCGTTTTGTTGTGAGAAATGTTTGTACCAACAACTGTTGTCTAAACATGAAAAATGTTGCAATCCTGCAGCAGGCTGAGTTGAATGATTTAAGCGCTGCCCTGCAGTAAATCAAGCTTGTAATCAGCTTTCAGCTCCAGTGATCCATCATTTTACAGTATGGACGCCACCACCGTGTGCAATAAATACACCCAAAGATGTTAACAGCAAACGAGATTCTTCCAGAAATAATAAACTGTGAACATTTAAAACAACTACAACCAGGCAGATGTCGCCCACAAGAACCCCATTCCATCAAAACCAGTAAGTGGGTTTCCCAGTCAGAAGAAACAAAGCCCAACATGAGCGGCTCTGATTAACCGCTCCCTGCTCTGAAGCTGAGTTTATTTCTGCTTCACTCTTGAAAAATGGTGTGTTGGAACCATAATTCATAAAGTACAAAGTGTATTATGGCAAAGAGTGACAAAGGGTAATTTTTCTCCTTTTAGCCGCTGAAAAATGTCCGCGTGGAAACCGGATCTGATCCTGCTCGCTATAACTTTTAATTAAAGGTGATTTAAATGTCGGAGTCCCTCTGTTTACCTACAGTTTAATCCTCACAGCCATCGCAGACATGTCTTCAGGGTTAAACACACTCCCTGTGAGCTTTTTGAGTTAGTGATTGTGGGAGACCTCGGCCTCGCTCTGTCTTTAAACAGCCCAGCTGTTTCGCTGCCATTCCAATTACAGTAAAAGTCATCCGACGCCATTAAGCCACAAATATTGGCAGTTTATTGCCCAACACTCTCCTGGCATTTGAAGGTCAGGTCATACATTATACTGTGTCTTTTAGGGATGCGTCTGGGATGGGGAGATAAACCCACCACCATTAATTTAATTCTATGCATATTGATGCCTTATTGTTCTTCTTTAATGGACTAATATCTGAGTTACAACAGTGATTCATCCCCGCCAGAGAAATATCAATTTCATACACCTCAAGATCTGACCCTGAGCTCATTCTCAGAGGTAAATCTAAATCTAATGATCTGTACTTGCTCCTTTACTTTGTTTCAAACTTTAATAGAAGAACCACCTCTGAGGGACGAGCAGGAGGGCAGATTTTTACAGCTTTAAAACGTAAGAAACCATAAAGTAACACCCTCATGTTAATGAAATCGAGCTGAAACTTGTGAAACTGGAAAAATCACTGCTGAAATGGCAGATTTGTGTCCTGGATCTGGAGTCAATCACCCTGTGTATCTACATGTGTTTAAATTAGAGCTGCAGAGTTCAATCGAATCATCATGGCCGCCACGTTTTAGCCCTAGAAGCACGAATGCTTCTGTAAAAATCTCTGCATGTGTGGGATCAGTGATTAAAAATAACATCATTAATTTAATTACTATGATTCACATAATGTTCAATTTTTTTAAGTACATTTTCGATCTACTGTTTGTTGTTGTTTTATGTGTTGACACCGACCTGCCAATGGGACTGGGGACGGAAATCAGCCACCTGGCTAGAATCTAATTTATTTACATGTAAATGTTTATTAATGCATATTGTCCATTTTTAAAATAAGAAATAAATCTCAAATCTCAAATGCTGTCTTCTCCAAACACACTCTGCCTGCGTTTCTTAAACCTGTTTTTTAATCCAAGTCCAAGTGGCGTACACCATCAGGACTCTGAAACACATTTTGAATCTGGCTAAATAATTTCTACAATATTGAGTCAGATCATGAATTTATTATACCAACATATACATCTCTGTGTAAACTGTGTTTTTATATTCTTCAGCTTTTGCACAGTTGTTCCAAAAGTGTCGAAAAGTCAAACTTTGCGACTTACCCCATAGGAGGGGTAAACAGGAACATCGTTAGGGCTGGTTTCACCACTCACCAGAGAAGTCAGTTTAAGCACAACAACTTCAATACAGTTATTCTTAAACACCAGAGGTAGATGGTGATGGAATACTGTTTGTAGATCAATGATAGATAAATATTCACACATCTGTATTTCTATTTATCCCTCATCAAGGATGTAGAGATTGCACGCTGTAAGACACAAATTCAGTTCTTCGTCATTATACCACTGCACAAGGGTGAATTATTATATCAAAATTAATAGTTTAAGGAACTCTGTTCACAACTGTCGCTCCACACATTATCATCTTTAGGGTTTGACGTGATGGATTGATTACCATGTGAGCATTTTAAACTGTGTCAGCTGTTTCCTGTGCAGACCACATCAACACACACAAAAAAGAGTTTTTAAAAATTTCCATCCTGTAAGTATTTTTTTAGCCTCCATTTTTAAGACTCAAAAGTCTGGCTGTTTTTGACACCTACAAGTACATAGTATGAGTATTCTGGTGAATCTGTCTAGCAGTATGTTGGGCCAGACCGCGCTGGTTTTCTGTTCTGACAGTAGTCCAGCCGGTAGCAAACCACTATAGTGAGCGAACGACAAATGTTACAAATGATTCTTACATTTGCTTTGTATGTTTTTAACTGCGAAGCAGGTCAGCTGATAGCTTATATATTACACTGGTTTACATATTTGTAGTCCTTTTTTAATGTACCTCCATAAGACCACAGTTATCACTTCCTGTCCTCTACCACTGTGGTTGACAAAGACATTGACAGAAGTCCTGCCCATTCTTGATTCTGATTGGTCGGTGGTCTTGACTCGACATTAATGATGTTGCTAAGTTGAACTATTTTCAGCTGAGAGTGCAGGGACAAAAAAAAAAAAACAGCTGACACCGAGGACGTCTTCATGCTGGGCTGCACTTGATTTGAAAACCACATGAGAACTCATCAGTGATTGAAAATGTTCAAATAAGCATGCCAGACCAGTAGGTGGAGAAACTAGTCTGTTAAGTCAGAACACCGTAGAAAAAAATTACGCCAATGCATAAAGGACATCTCTGTGAGAGATCATCATGTTTATTGGCTTCACACATTCATTTACCTGAGCTGCAGGAATAAGAACAGTGAACTTTCCTTACAAACATTTAATCAAACCTCCCTAGCAGACCTGAACAGACCAGGAACCCACCATATTTGTGCACGTACAAATCAGTAATTTGTCAAAATAGAATTCATATTTAACACCATCAGTGACTGTTTGAGATTTGGTGTCATTTAAGATGGAAAACGTGATTTACCATTCAGATGGATGTTAATGCTTAACAGCAGCAACACCTACAAAGCTGCCTGCAGTGTCTGCAGATCTATTTTTAATCAGTCTTGTGAGTGCAGCAGATACTGATTATTTCAAAATGTTTGATTCATTCATCCAAATTTAATAAAAAGTTTCCGTTTTAGAGATGAGGGTCATAGACTATACACTGGGTTATATCTATGCTGTGATAAAATGAATGGAGCTTCAATTTCGTCAAAATTAAGTCAAAGTTTTTTTGTTTTTTTTTAATTCAACGCAAAGAATAAACATAAAAAAAAAGTTACATTTTCATAAATGGCATGATCTCTAAAATGATCAGAATAAGTGTGATAATGATTTAAACCTGCATTCGGTCCAGACAGCAGCTCAAACAGAAACTTTGATTTAATGCTGGTGAACATTTAATGTATGTGGCGAAGAGCGGGAAAGAGGCTTCAACAGCGCCACACCCTCGTCTCCAGTAAGAGACAAAAAAAAAAATTCCAAACAGCTTAATGGAAGAGTTTCAGACACGCTGTTTATCTCCATTATTCTGTCTTAAATTACGACGGGTTCAACTCCAAATGCAGACAACACACACGTCTGACCTCATCTCTCAGTGTGGACCTTCTTCCTGAAGCCATTTAGAGCCTCAACCAGAGCAGTAAAACAACACAAAGACTGAAGACTCTGCCTCTTTTCTCCTCTTTTGGACGGGTGCCATCTTTGTGATTGCCTGGTTCATGCTAACTTAATCAGTTTAAGATTTACTTACACTGCCGAGGCTCACATTATGTGAGGGGAGTAATTTTAGAGCTTAGATTTATCAACCAAAACTCCAATTACTGCATCATTACAAACCGCAGCCTCTCTCACCTAACACAGAGCGTCTAATGAAGTGATGCGTACCAGTTATCCGCCCTTACTGGATGTGCGAGGCGGAAAGAGAGAGAGAGAGAGGTAAATAAATACATGTGAAAAAAGCTTGAAGTGAGTGTGGAGAAAGCATGCAGCTGGGCTTGGACAAGTGATTCATTTCATATGGAAATAGGCTTCAAGATTTACAGCCATACATCAGCGTCAATGCAATCACAGGCTCACATACTCTGCTTACACAGGCAGTTATATTGTAGGTATCAAACTCGGCATAAGGTGCAGCTTTGGCTCTCTCTGTATATTTGTAATAAAGCTGCACCTGAAATGCAGAGCAGAGATACATGCTTTGGTTTAAGATGAAACAGAGTGAGAGGGAAAGAGAGTGGTGAGAAAAACAGGGGCACCAGATGTTCTTTGATGTTTATAATAGCATATATTATTAATATTAATTAGACCACATAGTCAATGACGCATTTGGGACGTTTCCAAGTCAATTAAGCCAAATGGCATTCAGGAGACGGTGGAACAATATTTCAAGGCAGGTGTTCAGAACTCCCTGGGTAAATCTTTTTATCTGCATGCTAGGAAAACAAGCATTTTGAGCTTAATTTGAGCCTCATATCTGCAATAATAATTAAAAAGAGGATTAAAAGACAGAAGTGAGAGGGAGACAGAAAAGCCAACAGGTAATCAGTGCAGACAAACCCGTCAGACTGGCTCTGATCTCTGGAAAAGAGCTGATTTTGTAGAGCTCGACACAGCTCTGAGACAGATAAGGACGGCTTTATCTATGTGAGAGATGCTCCCAATCAGAAAGAATAGACTAATCTAACAGGAAGAGACGCCATCGTAAAGTGATACTCTGAGCAAAACCTCGGCTCATGTTTCTCTTCGATTCAGCCGCTCTGAGCCGTAACATTTACAGTAAAAAGGACAAAACACATGCAGGGACAACATCATTACATGGTGTCTGCACGCTGACCTCGAGGTTAAGAGTTTTGAATGGGACTAATTAATAACTGTCAGAGCATTTTATGTTTGTTAGGCATGTTTTTAGTCTGAGCCGGGCCAATGTAGGTCAGAGGCCTGCAGCGTGCACCCTTCATTAGTTTATCATTTTAAGCAGAGTCCTTATTCTTCGTCTCAGATCATAATTAAAGTCAGAGTGCATCTTCAAATCTCTCCTGATGACACATTGAAGGAGTATTTTTCTATTCAAATCAAAGCTTGACTCCTCATTTAAGACGTTTGCAGTGAAAAATCTAAATCCAGACAGAGGCGGCCCCCCCTCCATCTCTCTCTTTCTCTTTCTTTCTGACAGGCGTGACTGTACTATATTTGCCATCCATATTGAGAGCATCAATAACTTCATGACCACCATAGGCTGACTATGAATAATGCAGCCAGTAATTCTGGACTAATCAATGTTCCTCAAGCTGAACATCTGGCAGTGGTAATTCTTCCCCAGCATCTCCGCTCTCCTGAATTAGAAAACACTCGCTCTCTTCCTCCTTCCACGTCCGACCATCCGGACACACAGACAGAGAGAAAGACGGGCTCGATCAGTTACAACCCCCCACCTCCCAAAAAACTTATCCCTGTTATTAAACCCTCATCAAGTGGTGCGTGTTCTCCATATGTGTAGGATTTACCTATCTGTCCCGCAGCAGACCTGTGTGTTGAGCCAGGGCCAGCAGCGTGTGATTGTGTTAATTAATCTGTCATTGTGAGCGCGGGGAGCAGCTGCAGAGGTCTCTGGGATATATTGTCAGAGCTAAACAATGCGGTGCTAAGCCCCCAGAGTGAGTCTACCATTACACAAGCCTAAGAACAGAGAGGAGAGAGGGGGGAGAGGGGGAGAGGGAGCCTGCCGGATCCATCATTGACTAAAGCAATGACGCCTGACCTTTACAATGAATTAGTTTCCATGCTTAATATTGACTGAAATTAGAGTCTGATACTGAATGTAGCATCCCAGAACTGTGTGCACTCAAATCCTCGGCTAGCAGGCGATCATAAATGTTTCTGGAAGTGACACCGTATGGTCTGGGCGATAGGGGAGAAGGGAAAAGTAAAAACAATAGAGCTTGAATATGTTTCTTAAAGAGCAACCAGAGAGGGATTTGGCCGTAAACTGCAAGAATTCATGTAAATATGCAGATACAAGCATGTGCGCACAATATGGAAACAAAACATCTAATGAGATTAGACCTGATCCATTTATCTCTGCTATACGGCCTAACATTTAAGAGGATACGGAATGCAATCCCACCAGAGCGCATCAGACTTAGATGTACATAAGAGCAGTGTAATCAATGTGGAAAGCTTTGAGGAGAGAGAACAAAAGTTTGGATTTATTTCTCTGCTCTTTGCAGCGCTGTTAAAGCTGTAATTTAGGCTCATGATAACATGTTAGCAGGATGCCATGACAAGAAAGGCATTTACCCAGAGAGCCGAATCATCCGAATCACCAGGTGGAACAGAAGACTATCAATAAAAATACCAGGTGGTAGATCAAATCATAAAAATCACTGGGTGGTATATATCAAATCATTAAAAACACCAGATGGCATGCATTAACATCTTGTGCCCCCGTAGGCAAGGGGTGGGGATGTGACGGATAAAAAATAGAGGGTACTAATTATCCCTGCTTTCAACATGATGCCATTATCTTTAAAAAGAAGACCAAGTCCTCGTGATGACAGTAATATCACTGCTGGTGTTACTGACCCCGCGCTGCACGGACACCTACGTTAAATAGAAGAAAGATGAGGCCACAGCTGTCACTTCATAACTCTGTTTTTTTTCAGGACGCATAGAAACAAACGCACACACATGAATGTGGTTCATTGTTGTGATATTTTTGGATGGTTTTATGTAAGAGTGTCGTCTTCGCCAGAGCTCGGATCAGTTCCCCGTCTACCAACATTTAATCCTACAAAGAAAAAGAAACCTCGCAAATTATAAAAGTGCCACTTCATTAACACCGGGGTCACCTTTTATGCATTTTCCATCTGCCACTTTAGCGTCAGCTGATGTATAGATTGCCAAAAACAATGTGCAGAATAATCCAGAAAAAGACAATGTTACTCTCTCTCAAATCTGGTAAATTCTGGGTACTGAACTACAGCAGTATTGCAAAACATAATATCTGAAGTCTGGGGATGGGACCTGTTTCAAACTACCCGAGCATAGAGTTACGTAATTTTAAAGCAAACTGAATGTCTTTCCTCTTATATTGAATATTGAGTCAATTGAATTTCCCTTTGTATATGAATAAAGTTCTTCTTATCGTATCTCATATGCTCAAGCATTTTGCCACACATTAAAAGATACATCCTTTTGTCTAAGAAGCTGCATCATGCTGACTGCCATATTTAAGCCTCGGTTCAGGGTTGCTCATTTCCTGCATGGTAAAAAAGTAGTGCTTTGTGCCTGATTTTGCTGTCTGCATACTGTGAAATTTACATTAAGTTTACATGCATCAGCCCGTACCGCAGAGTTTCACCATGCATACCGCAGGAGTAGAAGGCAGAAGTGGCAGGTACACAGGAAGCTGCAAGAACTCAGATTTGGCTTTTTTTCACAGAACTTGTGTAGTACTTAGATTTACTTGCACCATGGCAAGCAGCCTTAGGAAAATTATTTCCATAATGAAAAATCTACTCACATCTGTTGCATGGCGTGTGTTAATTTCCAACAGAATATTGAATATCCTGCTCAGTATTTGACTGAACTTGAGGCACATCAGAAAAATCTCCAGATATGCTCAGGAGAAGATCTGGATTCTGGAAGAATTACAGAAGAAATATCTGGATGTTTGGGCTTTTCCTGCAATAAAAGGCTTTAAGTGATGAATATCTAATCTATATTCAGACTTTTGAGGCTATCATACATAAAGCATTTTGGCATGTAGTGCAAGTTTCCATTTGTTTGCCCATGTCACGTAAAGAAGTCGTCCCATTTGAACACCATGACCTATATACTTACCCACTATTTTCAAAACACCGGTTTATGACTTTTTTAATCGTCTTTGTGGTTTTTGTCGTGCAATATCACAGATGGATTACTAAATTTAAAATGCATTTCCAAACACTGAACAAAGTACCCTGCATGAGCTAATTACCTGCAGCAGGAGAGCAGGACTTTGGCCGTCGATCAGGGGTGCCGTCAGAGAGGTTCCCAGTCTCTGTGCTGGTCCCTGCTGGTCCATGATGAGTCAGACTGATGGGGCTGCCTGGTCTGCTGATGGTCTTTGTGTCTGAGTCAGTGAGACACACTTTCCCCTCGTCCACAGGGAGACATCTCTCCGGCAGGAGGGAGGAGCAGTGCTGCTCTTTGGGGCTGAATACCTGCTGATCCACAGGCAGACCCGGAGTCATGATCTGCCAGCCCGAGAAGCTGCTGCTACCGCTGCTGCTCAGCGTCTCTCTGCTCGACATGACTTTCTGCAGGAACTCCATGCTGCTGGAGCTCGCTGGGTGATGGGGATGATTTAAACCCAGAAAAGAGCAGCTGTCTGCCTCTGTCAGACCTGGACCCGAGGAAATCATCCTCCCTAACATCTCCCTAACCTTCATGTCGATGCCGGCAGTGGCAAACATGGAGTTATAATCTTGATGCTCGGTCATCTCTGCCGTGAGGAACCTGTTGTGGATGCGGGAGATGTACTGGGAGTAGACATTGCTCTGGTGGTCCGGGGTCAGGTGACTCATGTTCACAGAGGGTTCATGCTCAGATGGGAGGGCGCGCTTTGCAGCCAGCTTGTTCAGGTGCACCTTCATGTGGTTCTTGAGAAACCAGGGCTCCTTAAAGCGCCGTCCACAGATCTGACAGCTGTGCTCAAAGGAGTCCTTGTGTTTCCTCATGTGACCCTTCAGGAACCAGGCCTGGCTGAAGGTCTGCCCACAAACCTCGCAAGGGAACTCCCCCAGAGGCTTCTTCTTCTCACCCCCTGCCATCGCAGGTTTCTGCCCTGACCCTGACTCTGCGGTTATGTGAGTCGTCTCCACGTGTCCGATCAGCTCCTCCTCTTGTGAGGCAGCAAACTCGCACAGGGTGCACTTGTATGGTTTGTGCAGGATCCTAATGTGGCGCTCTAGCTCCTGCTGCTTCCTGAACTTGCCCTTGCAGAAGGAGCAGCGGTATCCGTTGGGTTGTGGTAGGATGGCATCATCAGGGAGGGTTGTCGCTGTGGGAGACGAGGATGCGTGCGGCTGTATCTCAGCAGGGGGTAAGAACTGGGGCTGTGCTGAGACCGTCTGTGAAAGCTGGAGCTGGGTTGGCATTTGCTGGTTAACGCCGCTTCCGCCTCGTGTCTGCCTGTCTCGAAGTATCGCTCTCTCCTCCAGCTCATGAAGCAGCCTGTTCTCCTCCCTGACTCGCCCTCTGCCTTTACCCATAATGCCTTGCTTGTGAGTGCGGAGGTGTATCTTGAGGTTGCCCTTCTGTGCGGCCCTGTGGTCGCAGTATGGACACTTGAAGGGCTTCTCCCCGGTGTGCGTGCGCATGTGCAGCGAGAGGATGCTGTTAAAGCGGAAACGCTTCCCACAAAGCGGGCAGGGGTACTTCCTGTTCTTGCGGTTGTCGTCCTGGGCGGAGTTCACCTGTGGGATCATGCTCGGGTTGGCGACTCTCAAGAACTGGGACAGCTCTGCCCTCCCGTTCATGCTGCTTAGGATCCGAGCATCCATTATCTGATTGGCCAGAAGCGCCATCTGGTTCCTAATTGGGTGGGTGGACGGGGTAATGAAGCTGTCCTTTCAGGGCCTGCTGATGTTACAGTATGGCGGTCAGGGGCGAGCAGTGAACTGTGTGCTGACTGTTTGCTCTTATTCTGCTCAAACAGGATGTGGATTCATGCTGCTCACATTAAAAGTCTGTTTGTCGAAGCTCAGACCTAGGAAGGAAACAAAACACACATTTAGAGCTTTTCAAGTCTGCGGAAACAGAGGAATTATTCAAGACAGACACCAAGCACACGGTCTCTGAAAAGTCAAATAAATGTGAGAGTCGTTTTGAGCCGTCTCTGAAGTAAATCTGTACTTTAGTCGCACCACAAATAGGTCAGGAAGCTGAGCAGAGCAGGTCTCCTCATCCTGTGAGTAAGTGTAGCTGTGGTTTCAGATTATTGTTGGAGACGGTAAAAATGCTGATTAAGTCTAACCACAAAGGCTTCCTCAACAAATGTCTCATCTTTACTCAGGTGAAAATCTTTGTCTTGATCTCATTTTTGTTCTGACACATAATACTAAAGCAGCACAAACATCAAAGAGTGTCTGCTTCCACTCGGCCTTCCTTTGCATCTCACAAATCATGAAACGCTTTTTTTTTTTAAAGAAAGATTAAAGTAGAAGAGTTGAGCTTTTCTCATCAGGTCTGATGCATATTTGAATAAAACCTTTACCTGAATAATTATGTCACACTCAGGGAGCACTAAGGGGAATAAACAACTTGATGATGCAAAAATGCAAAGTAAAGTTAAAGGAAGAATATTTAAATAGAAAGATAAAATATGCTTCTCTCTTCCCCTGCTCAGCTTCCTCTTCTTTCATCCGACTGTAGCAGAAAAACAAAGCTTCAAATTCACACGGTGCTACAATGGTAGAGGTCACATAAGCGAGCCCTGCACAGCTCTGCTGCAGCTCCAAAGGGCACAGAACAAAGCCTGCACTGTCCACACTGAATTAACACAGGCTTACATCATCCTGGACTGCAACCTCAGTCAGTCATGAAAATGATGTACACAAACCCACACAGATAAAGAGCTGACAGCAGGGTCCGCTCTGAGCCGAGATCAGAAATCAATGTAAGCATACGGTGCCTTTCTAATCAGATCTGACGGGGAAAAAAAGTGAGGAAATAAAACCTCGGTATCACAAATCCACTTCATATTCCTTAACCTGTTAGTGCTGAACGCTCAGGTCAAAGCAGAAAAGGGGAGATGGTTCCTCTTCCTCACATCCACTCTCAAGGATCGCGCCTATTTGAATTGTTATCGCTCCTATAAATGTCATCGCTGTAGTGTAAGCTGTGACACTGTTCAGCGCATCTATTCTGAAGCCTGTGTCTGATCAATAATGATTGATCGATCCAACTTCACACACTTTTGCCTCTGCAGAGTCTTGGGGAGTAACTCTGACTTCTGTGTAACTGCATTTTACTGACGCTTCCAACCAGTGGGCTGGAAACATGACGAGTGAGACGATAATCAAAGAGCTTTAAAATAGTGTAAAGACAAAACGTGAGCTCATTTCAAGTTTGAGACCAGCTAAAAAAAAAAAAAATCAAAAGTTCTTACAGAGGGGTTTTTCATCTCAGCTAATAGTGATGGGCACGGCAGTATACTGAATCACTAGAATCAGTTCACTAAAAAAATTCGTTCTAAAGATTCGATTACCAAATCACCGAATCATTTAGCAGGAGAAGCCTGCGACTCCGACCTCCTGAACCGATATACAGCTGAACGTTTCAGGATTCAGTTCAATTCATGGCTTCTGGGACTGGGAGACCAGAGTGTTTGGCTGTGTTGCTTTGGAAAACAGGTTTTTAAAAATGAACTTGTTCAGAAGTCATGATGTTTTAAGTGTACGGTCCTATGGTATGCTATTTATCAGGTCTGCTCGGTAAATTGGGCTCAGTGAGTGATTCGTTTACTGAACGTTTAGAAGAATTCACACTGAGCATGCACCGTTGCCTCGCAAACCGCTGCGATGATAGGATGCTGCGGGTCTAATACTTGTTACATGCTGTGTCCTATTGTATGCGAGATGTTGTGGTGGCAATTTAGCAGTAAAATGAAAAAAAAGGGTAGTTTTGTCAGACAAAAATGATTCCAGAGATTGTAGGTCAACGTGCGATTCGTTCACCAAGTGATCCACAGGCGTTGGTGCATGTGGTCGCTTGTTCGCCGGCTGCTGGCCTGGCAATGCTGTTTCTCACTTCAGGTCAACTGAAGTGAGAAACAAACGAATCACTCGAGGAAGTGATTCGGTTCAGTACGTTCACTTAAAAGATTCGGTTCTCTTAAACAAAACGTTCGCGAATGACACAACACTATCAGCTAATCTTTAACCAACGCTCTGTAAAGCTAAGTGAACCTAGCAGACCAGGTTCTGGAGTCTGAAAGTCAAATGTTGTCCCGTTCTCGACTGAGAGGATTTCATCTGCTCACCAGTTCAGGGTCTCCTGAGTCCTGTTTTTTGGTGTCATGACGCTCCAAATGTTTTCAATGGGGGACAAGTCAGGACCAGAGTTGGGCATCGAGTCTCGAGCATCGATGGGGACCGGGACTAACATTCCGATTCCCCCGGAATCGTTCAAATTTTTAAATTTCGATTTGAAGTTTCGATGCCGGAGTCCGCCGACCGGAAGAAATAGCCGCCGAACACCAACGAGGAAGACGCCGCTAAACACCAACGGGGAAGAAGCGTTTGAGACGAAGCCACACACAGAGAGAATAGAGACAGAGAGAGAGAGAGAGTGCACTGCAACCCGCAGCCCGCAGCGGCGGCAGTCAAAAGTTTGGCTAACTTTAGCAGGAAGAATGAACTCTTATCTCAGTGGAACATTAGCAACACCGTTATTTCATGCAAAGGAGGGTGAGCGACCAACAAAATTAAACACCTCAGGATTCGTGGAGGACATATACCTGAGTGCTCGTCTTTTACGCGCTTCGCCGGTCTTCCGCTAACCAGACAGAATCAGGTTAGTGAAAAAATAAATTACTTCTGTCTTCTGCTAACTTTGACAGGGCTCTCGAGTCTCACACATTGGGCGTGTGACACACGCATTCCCACCTGTTCACACGCTCACACGCCACATATTGTATTTCTCATGCATTTAAATTACCACAGTGACGTTTACCAAATTGCACCTCTTAAACAACGGTAGGAATTAAGTCAGTTCCCCCGAGAGTTAAGAAGCTGCGTGCCATGTGCAAGCCAATCAAATAAGGTATATCTACCAACAGCTAATCAAAACGTAGCATTGCTGTATCTGGGTAGATTTTGAAGACGGACACTCGCCGAAATGAAGCAAGTTTCATAAGGACGAAAAAGACCCGGATTACAGTAAATTAGTTACCTACATATGCAGAGGCCTCAACACATCATGGCATATAGACTCATATGATAAACTAAAGCCTTATGTAATTGCTATTAACAGCTGTTAACATTAACAGTGCCAAAGGAATAAGTACCTCCATGTTTGTGAAACCTATACTGAAGTAGAATTCATCCGAATGCTCCACAGCCTCATTTTAACAACTCTCCTCCACAACAGGTAACTTTACTAATTTATTCTCATAAATGAATGACTTTGGTCTCGTTAGTTATGACTATATTCTCATGAATAATGACTTAAGTCTCAAAGTCTCCTTTTTTTTTTTTTCTTAACGTGGCCCTTATACTCCATTGTATTCATTGGATAATTACATTATCTTCAATCACTCAATAAATAAATAAATAAAATAAAAAATCTCACTCCAAGTCTAGTTCAAAACTTGAGAGCCCTGCTTTAAAGCGGCAAACAAATTGTACTGTGTACTGTGGGTCAACTTAAATATCCAACGAACGTTAGCCCTTGTACTTTTTCATAGACAAACCACCTGAGAACAAAAACTGAAATTCATATCCTGGTTGAAAATAGCCCTGTGAGAAATCCAAAAGTTCTTAATAAGTTAATAGAATTGAGAAATTCATGGAGAAGTTCAGAAATTTCATCCAAAAAGAACTTCGGTTAGCACCCTCATTAAAACCATGAATTTTTTAAAATCCTTATAAAAGAATCGGAATAGAGAATCGTTAGGAACCGGAATTGAAACGAGGAATCGGAACCAGAATCGTTCAAAATAATACAATACCCAACCCTAGTCAGGACTGCAGGCGGACCAGTTTATCAGCAGGACTCTTCTACTACAGAGCCATGCTGTTGTAATCCCTGTTGTCAGAATGTGGTTTGTCATTGTCTTGCTGAAATATGAAGGTCTCCCCTGAAAAAGTCTTTGTCTGGATGGCAGCAGATGTTGCTCCTGAACCTGTAGATATTGTTCAGCATTAATGGAGCCTTCACAGATGTGGAAGATACCCATGACATGGACTCTGATGATCCCCATACCATCAGGGATGCTGGATTTGGACTGGGAGCTGATAACAAGCTAAGTGGACCCTCTTCTCTTGAGAGAGGAGGATGCAGGATCCATGATTGCCAAATAGAGTGTCAGATTTTGACAGTTTTCCTCTTCACCTCAGTCCAGCTTAAATGAGCTCAGGTCAAGAGAAGTCTCTGGTGGTTCTGGATCATGATTCTATCTGGTTTCCTCTTTTCATGGCTCAGTTTTCACCTCAGTTGTGAATGTGTTCATCCAGCTGTTTTTTCAGCTTTTCACATCTTTCATTCAGACCTTTGTTGCCCCAGTGTCAATACTTTTCTGAAACATGTGGCTGGTATTAAATCAAAAATGAGCTAAATTCTTGATCAAACAAGAAATGTTTCAGTCCTTTTCAATCTTTGAGTCCTTGAGACTAACCAAACCTAACAGCTCTCAGAGAAAAACCTCTGTAGCAGAGTCAGAACCACCTGCTGCTGTGGATGATCCACAGCAGTCATTCAGTTGTGAAAATATTCGCTAAACCTCACAGGTGTGAGCAGCACGTCTGCTCTGAATCAGCGAACAAAGTCCGACCTAATCATACCTGACAGGGAGTAAGAGAGCGAATGATATTAGCATACACTGGATCCACTTTATATCTGCTAAAGTGGTATTCCTCTGATTAACTAAGCAAAGCAAGCGGACAGAAAACCTTCATCAGAGTGTGTGTAAGAGCGTGTGTGTGTGTGGTTGTGTATGGATAGTCAGAGCGGCGTGCAGGGCCATCAGGTGTTTCTCTGTCAGACTGGATTAGACTCTTTTTGCAGCAGATTGAGACAGAGCCTGATTGTTATTAAGCATCATGTCACAATGGCGGCTCTTAGGTGTGGCTGTGCATAGTCGAACAAGGAGCAGGTGTGGTTTAGCAGAAGGTAATAAAAGGAAAAAAATATGACAGATACAGAGTCAGAGCAGCTTTAAGAGCTAGATGATCCCAGATCAGATGAAATCCAACACTGTTTCAGGTATTTTACCACAGACAGAATCAAGATTCAGCATTTCTGCTCCATATCAGAGCAGTGAGCGGGATCTTTCTATGTTGTGTTGCAGCATATTGTCAGCTAGGATGGATGGACAGTATTGTAAATCCATGAAGAGGTGACACTGGAATGAAACAAGCAGCTGAAATTTATAGATCAGAAGTGCATATTTCATGTTTCTTTTTAAGGGCAGTTAAGCATTAATAATTTATGTGCACGGTGGAGCTGAAAGCTACAATGAATGCAGCACAAACATTTACATAAGCCAGCAACCAACAGTTACAGTAACACAGCCGTCGAGATCTGAAATGAGATAAGATGTATGAGCGAGAAGAGGAAGAAAACTACAACACGGTGTGAAAATGAACTACAAATCTGATTATAGCTGGATAGAAAGCATGACTGACAATACAGACTAAAATATTCATCATATTTTTATCATATTTTACAAGCAGTGATGGTTTTTGTGTGCCATAAGATAAACTAGTGGACAGAAATGTGCATCAGCCCTCCACTCCATCGTGTCCAGCAAGAAAAGGAGATGGATGACATCATTTAGCCAATGTTCATTCCCCTTAAAATGAAATACTTCAGCCTCATTAAAAATTTGGATGATTTTGCCTTTTAATGCACTAAAACCAGAAGTCCAGTATCTCAAATTATTTCCTAAAGTCGGCAAAAAGAATTTAAGATAAAGAAATGTCCAGTTTTTGCAGAGAATGCTCCTTTCTACCCTCAGTACTTGGTTGGGACTCTTTCCTGTTCATTCCTGCATCTATGTGATGCGGCATGGAGATGATCAGCCTGAAGCTCTGCTGAAGTCCATGAAGCCTTGTGTATTTTCTCATCTCTCAGGTCAAGTCAGTTGGCTAGACAATTAAGTTCAGTAGTATCATGGTCAACAAACGATTTATTAGTAGTGTTGGCGATGTGGGCAAGTAACAAATCCTGCTAGAAAAGGGACTCTGTATCTCCATAAAACTTCTCAGCAGATGAAGCATGAATGTCTCTAAAATCTCCTGGTAGACTTTAGACTGTGTTGACTCAAGACTTGATAAAACACAGTTGACCAACTTAAGACATAGTACCCCAACACACCACAGACTGTAGAAACTTCATGCTGGACCTTAAAGGGATATTCTGGTGTAAATTTAAGTTATGGTCAAACACACCATAACACTGAGTTAGACACCCCCTCGAGAGATGAATGTTGCCGACTGCTTGCTTCTCTAGTTATACCAACTTTAGTAATGACCACACGATAGCAATACACAGCGGCTGTTGGATCCTCAACCAAAAAGCCACTCTGTAGCCATGAATATTGCTCAGAACAGCACTTAACTTCATCAACAGTACATACAGAGTCCCAGTCATAGCACTAGCAATCAAACATCTTTTTAGCTTTGCCTGATTTCTTTAGCAAAGAGACTAAACACAACTTACCCACTCTCCTTCAGCAGCCGCTTGTTTGTACGCAGACCTTGGACAAGTCCATCACCAACTGCAGCGGGGTGACGCAGCTCAAGGAACATTTATGATCATTACTTTATCATTTCCTTGAAGTAATAATCATCAGTAATGGACTTGTCTGAGATCTCCCTACAAACACGCGGCTGCTGGAAGAGAGTGGGTAAGTTGTAATTTTACACCGGAATATCCCTTTAAGCACCTTGGATTCTGGGCCTCTTTTGCCTCGGTCAAGACCACATAGAAGTTTCAGTCTTAGATAGATAAGTGATGTAAAATTTTGAACTTTTTTACTCATGCTTTGAAACATGCAGTCAATTTAATTATGCAGACTAAGCATAAACAAAACTTATTCATGCAAATGAGGATGAAATATTTCAATAGAGCACATATCTCTTGGTTCACAGAGTGCTTATATACGCTGTAATAATCTCATGTTGATGTCCCACATTCTTGACGACATACCTCTGCCTACTTCAAAATCATAAAACACGAGATCATGACTTTCAAGATTCCTGAAATTCCCAGTCTGCAGATAACAACTGTTTTATTCATTATTACAGAGCGCCGTTATGTGCAGACAGTAACAGCCCCACGCCATGCATTATGCCCCCTGTGCCTCACTTCACCCACTCACTCACCCACCCACCAAAGCAGAAGCCGACCATCCTGCAGACTGCCCTGTCAGAGGATGAAGAGGAGCACAGGGAAGAGGGCAGTGGTACACAGCTGCCCACCCTGACCTGCACAAAAGATAGCACCCATATACTTTCTGACAGGCGGATTAATGAAACCCTATAGGAGCTTCTCTGTAGGCCCCCCAAAAGCCTGACGGAGACAGAATAGTCTAACCAGCGCCATTCATTACTGCAAGAGCACGGAGCACAGAAAGAGCACACACAGCACTGACAAACTGGCTCCTTGTGAGTAATAGCTAAAGAACTCATAAAGGAATACATACACATTTGTTGTGGATGCAGTAAATCTATGCCACTCCTTTTACAACTATCAAAAATCTGGCTCCTGCCCCGTAAAAATAAATCTGGCATTCATGTGGCGCAGTGGTGACGTGCAGATATTTGAGAGTCAGCTTTTCCACATGTCAAGTGAAAGGAGGCTTCAATTCAGTTTGTGTCATTCAGTGATGCAGATAGCTGCAAAAGAGGAAAATTAGTTCATTTAGCTAAAGCCAAAAAAATAAACCCAAACCCAAACTGGAGCAGTAGGTTTGAAAGTGGTGATCGACTGTGTCTGGACTGGAGCCTGTTGGAGACATGAGTGTGAACATGAGTGTGCACGAGTGTTTTGAAAGAAGAAACCTCATTACACAGAGTGTGCAGCAAGCAGCAACCTTTGGAAAATTGAGCCAATGTGGGGAGTGCAAAAACTGCAGTTCCTCAGGAGTCCACTTGAAGCTGATTTTAAAAGCAGTTAGTGTGTAAGATGCAGTCAGATATGGGGCTGTCATATCGTTAAAGGGGTTTAAGGGTTCCTGTGTGATAACTTATTTTTTCTAAAATCCTTTTTATTCACAAACTTTAGTGAAAATTTGAACATATTCAGTTAAAGAGACAGAAGCCCAAATATAGTGTTTCAGACAGAGGCTGAAACTATCATTATTAATAATTATTAATAAGCTCATTCCATCAGTGTCACATGCTACGCAGCAGTTTGTACCCATTCTGATCAATATTGCCCCACACACAGGATGCATCACAGCGCATTTAAGCACAGTTCTACAAGCGTCTCTACGAGTCGTGTCTATTTTTGACAGAGCATGTGCTAGTGTGTCATTCGCGAACGATTCGTTCAAAAGAACAAATCTTTTAAGTGAACATATTGAACTGAATGACTTCCCGAGTGATTTGGTTGTACCCATCACTAGCATGTGCCCATCATGTGTCAATTGACAGAGAAGATTGTTCTAGATGTCAAGCATGTAAGAGGCGGATCTACAGATTGTGTAGATAAGAAATACTTCCTGGATATTGATTTATCATTAACACAGAACAACCCCTATGGCCTATCCCTGATCCATGTGGACCACAACAGGACTTTTAGCTGCTTACTCTTAAAGTAACAGTACAGCAAAGTGGATCATAGTTTATTTTACTAGACAGAAAAGGTGTATATTCGGAGTATATCACTGCTCTTACACTCAGAGGATGTGAGTGTACAAGTTACAGCAGGTTCACACAGCCATATGCAGTAAAACGTGCGACATCATTCAGGCGTTTTCAGGTGATGAGGCAGAGCTGCTGAACAGGGTGAGACAGTTGAAGGATCTGAGAAATCACCTGTAAAGTTTAATACATATGAATATGAGCCGCCTAACTGTTATTGTTAATAATATCATTTTTTTATGTCACAAAATCAGGTCCTGTTTGTTGTATCAATTAGGCAGTAAGCATAAAATAAGCTGTTTTATCTTGTATCTTGTAATGTGAATATTATAAACTGCAAATAAAAATGTTACACTGCCATAGATATTGGTTTAAATATTTAAATCTTTAATAAGAAAACAATTGTGTTTCATAATTAATGTTATCCACTCTCTATCTTTGCATTGGTTTAAATTTAACTGCTCTAATTTTAGCATTTGAAAATTGATCAATTGGAAGTTGAATTTTAAGATTTCTGGGTCATTTTCCTTCTTTTCCTTTCCTAAAGGTTGCTCCAATATTTCTTTTGCTAGAGAAAGTCATAAAGGGAGCAATGCAGCTCCTTTCCTTTTCCTTTTCGAGATTCGAACAGTTCTGTTCATGGTCCACACTCAAAGACCTCTGGGTCGTTTCCCTCAGTCAGGAACCTCCCTCACGACTCCTCGAACACACGTTAGTATCACACAGGAGAGGACAACGTGTTTTAGTTTAATTTGCAGTTCCTGTCATGGGCTTGGTGAGGCAGATAAACCCTAAATGTAAACATTGTTAGAAATGATAACATGTAAGAAAGTTAGTAAAGTTTATGAAGTAAGTTGTCGCTCCATCCTAGCCTTGTCTTCCTTTAATTTGACCAGTTGTGTGGTTTGATTCTGACATTTCTGACAATATTTGACATATTGTTACCCTGAAATTTTCTGAACACAATAATCATGAGGTGGAAATTTGCCATTGTGACAAACTCAGCGTGCACGTGCGTGTTTGTGTGTGTTAATCACAGACTTTGCATTCATGAGCCTCCTCTGCGCTCACACACAGAGGAGCTCAGGGAAATATAAACACTGTCTCCTTAGCTCATCCTCATCATGCACATGCAAAGACAACATGCCGTCCGTCACTAACACAAACACACACAAACACTCATGCACGTGCACACGCATGCGTGCATATAGAATGTATTTTAAATCACTAATGTGTAAACAGTTGCTCTTGTTTGCACAGACCACCTGTTCTTTCTGGACACAAACAAAGCTCTGGCGTACGGCAGGGTGTGTTAACAGTGTGGGGTGCGTAGGGGATGCCTTGCACAAGAGAAGCCGGTCCACATGGTGCAGGCTGCATCAGATGGTTGGGCCCTGCAGGACGGCAGCCAGCTCCAGCAGATCTCACACTGATCTGAAAGAATGGAGCTCCTTCAGTCTGCAAGATACTGAACTGTTTTGCTTTTCTTGAAAAGTACAACTTCCTGTGGTGAGAGGAGAGCCTGGTTGCCAATCTAAGCCCTACATCATTTAAAGAGACGGGCTAATTTAGTTTTTACTCCACATTCATCTTCTGCATTGCTCAATATTTGCAAAACTGCAGAGAAATGGCAAAAACAGTATCTAGTTTCAGTTTGGTAAAGCACTCAGAGGCACTAAAACAAAAGTCATTAAACGAGTCATCACAAAATCACAGCAGGAGTCTGGTAATGCCACTTACAGTATCTCATTAAGCTATGGCATCTACGGGAAAAACTGACAAACAAAGAGCATAATCCAAGGCACATTAACTGGGCTGATAATTCAATGAACTCTCATTTGGCAGCCATCTTGCCCTTGTGATGGTCTTTTTTCAGCCGCAGCAGCAGAGCGCAGACCCCTCATGAAGTTCCTCTTTCTCTCAAACACACACACACACACACACACACACCACACACACACACACACACACACACGTATATATCCTCCTCTCTCTCTCTTTCCCGCGCTCTCTAAAACAACAAAACATCCACCATTAGACAACGGGGTACCAGCGTAATTAGAAAATGACTTCCTTTGCAATCCTAGCTAAGTAGTTTACACACTGTAATTACAGGGACAAAATCATCTTTTCATCATTTCACTGATTGAGCTCATCAACCCAGTGGGATCCCAGGACTGTGCTCAGGCAACATCTGGGCTAAGAGAATTAGCCCTTTAGTTTAGCAGGCCTTCCACAGTGGCAAGCAGCGCAGCATGAGCACCGGACATGGCCGTCTCACACACATACACAGGCACGCACGCACGCACACACAGCTCGGGTTCAGACTGTGTCTAATCAGAAGCCTCAAAAATAGACTCTCAAACATTAAAAGTTTACTTGCTTTACTAACAGGATGACACTGCAGCTGTAACAGAGAAACATTTAAGGTTTCAGCAAACATTTACAAAGATGGTGTTTGCTTTTCTGCAGAGGAGTTTACTTGACAGAGATCCATCCGGGTACTTCGCCCCCTAACCTGCAGTCCCGCCCCCTTTTGGAGTCAATCTCAGGTGAGCAATATAATCATTTAAAAAAAGAAAACCATCTTTTGTAACAGCTTTTTAAAGCCCAAATCTAACAGCTAACCTTTTTCTTCAGCACTTAGCAAAAAATCATAATCATAATTATTTTGACTGATATCGATGTTCAGATTGTTAAAAATGATTATCCACTCTTGTTTATACAACTTAAACCTTAATTTCACTTGTAGGAAAGAATTTTTACTCTGTGTTGTATGAATTTAAGGATTTAAGCTCTTTTACATTTTATCAAAGGCACCAGATCCAACAAACCACCCGAAGCTTTTATAAAACCTGCTCCTCTCCCTGTTCTCCTCTCTTCCCCCCTGCTCCTCTCCCTGCTCTCCTCTCTCCTCCTCTCCCTGCTTTCTTCTCTCCTCCTGCTCCTCTCCCTGCTTTCCTCTCTCCTCCTGCTCCTCTCCACGCTTTCTTCTCTCCTCCTGCTCCTCTCCCTGCTCTCCTCTCTCCTTCTCCTGCTCCTCTCCCTGCTCTCCTCTCTCCCCCACTCCTGCTCCTCTGATGTTCCTCCATTGCTCCGAAGAAAAAATTTACCCTTTAATTCTTGAAATGAGGCATTTTCTTATTCTTCTTACGTAGATTTTCATATTTTATTGTCAGACTGATTCTGCTTTTTATAACTAATTCGGGTCTTATTTTGATGTGTAAAATCTTAAAATGAGACTTTTCTGGACTTGTAGGCTAAATGTGGCCTAGATAACATAATATGATAAAACACAACATAATAGTAGTTTGATGAAAGAAACAATAAAAAAGACAATAAATACACTAAATGAATCAAAACACCATGAGTAGCATGCAATAATTTCAAGAAGACGTCTCAATAAAAATGTCTCAACAGTGATTTTAAAGCAGACACTGATGGAGATCCTCAGGCCAGTTGTTCAACAAACACTCAGTTTGATCAGGGTTTGAGGTTTTAGGTAAGAACCATAAAAAGGTTTCTGCAGGATCTGAGGCTGTAGATATTTATACTCTGAGTCCAGACAAAGGAGTGCTTAAAAAGTAAACCTTAAAATCAGGTTTATCATCCCTTAGCACGTTTTCGGATTCTAATGACGTGTACCTGAAGGCTTTTTACTGGAAATAAATTTAAAACTTACTGAAATTTTAGAATTTTTTTGTAGTTTATCTCAGTAATCCCTCTAACCATCCAATATATTGGTATATTTTGGATGTTTAGAGTTCTTATTTTTGCCTTATGTTTGATTTGTTTCCCCATTACAATAATTTTTACTCAGCCATTTTCATTTGGCTTCTGTGAGTTTCATCGATGAGGACAGGAGGGTGGAGGAAGCAGAAAACTGGGGAAGAAAGAGGGAGGTGACGTGCAGGAAATGAGCTACAGGTAGCACTTAAAACCTGGCTGCTTACTTGAAAGGGTAACACATTGTCCTCTTTGAACTCTGTAAAGCATTTTAAATGTGCTTTGTTTAAAATCAATAAACTCTCCTTAAACACCCAAATCCCCTGCTCTATATCTATGAGACTCTGTAAACACAGAAACAGACTAAACTTCCAGACTTTGTACAGAGTAAAGATGCTCGATCACTGTGAGTGTGGAAAAAGGAGGTTTCAGACTGTCAGACTTTACTTTTAAAACTGTTTTCTTTTTAAAGCTGCAAATATGCCTTATCTGCTTTGGTTGCAAGTCTGTCAGCTGTCTGTTGTGTTTGCACAAATGATTTCGCACAAAAAAGTCCCTGATTGATAAATAAATGTAGGAACTTCATTGACAACTTTATTTATATTGATTATTTGCCTTGAACTGTGTCTGCACCCTTCACTGCGTCTGTGTCTGCTTAGAGGGAGACAGGTCACAGTGCATACTGCCACTAAGGTAAAATATAAATGATTTGCATTTGAATTGATTTAATTTTAAGTAACCTGAGCCGATGCGTTTTCTTTTTATGTTGTTTATTTTTTAAATAAAACAGCAAGCAGCTTTGACTCATCTATCGCTGGATTTGTTTTTGACTTTTTTTTGCCTGAGTGTGATGAAGCTGCACTCGTACTCGCTGAGGTAAAAAGAAGGAGATTTTGGAGAGGGTTACAGGACACACCGGATTTCTAAGTTTAAGAAAGAAAATATAAGATGCATGAACATCGTAGAAGCAGGGCGCAAATGCAGGAGAGTATTTAGATTTGGTTTGTCTAGTGTGCAGGTGAAGCATGAATCTGGGGGTTTACATTGAATAGTTTTAATGTTAGCTGCAGAAAGGTAGAAGTATTAAACATATAGAGAGGATCCAGCTCTATCAGCCTCATATCGAACTGCTCCTCCTCTCCTGTTTCTGTGAATTGAGGCGTCAAACATTGACCTTGCTGCTGCCTCTTTGTGGTGCGCTGTGTTTACTCTAATTCTGCGTCCGCCCTCGGCCTTGACTTTCTAACAAACACATGTGGTCCCCGTCTTGAAGGTGAAGTGCTTTCTCTCAGTCTCTGTCCTGTGGAAAGGCTTTGACTCTGTGTGTTGGCAACAGAGGCAAGTGTTTAATGTGGCAGCTGTTAGCCTGGTGGATTTTCACTAATCACTCTCTCCTGATTACTCTGATGAGTGTATGATGCTCTTAAATAATCAACCCGCAATGAAAAAAAGGAAAAATAATTATCATCATCTCCCTAAGTAGTGCAGCTGCACCCGCCTGCAATAATTACAACTAGAACAGGGCGCCTTCTCTCGTCACTTACAACCACTTATTATTAGAGATAACGCTAATTGGTGCAGTGGTGGGCGACAATTCTTCATGGGGTTCATCATAAAAAGCCAAACCTTGAAAGTTATGGCACATTAGAGGTCTTAAAGCCAAGGTACGGCACTAAACATGGCATGCTGAGAAACGCCAATAATCTGAGCGGGGGGAGTCGTACTGGTCCTATCAGTAGCCCCTCGGTTGCCTCGCCGCCGTGCCCTCTCTCCACCCTTCCCCCACTCCGGGTATCAGCCTGGCAGACACAATTAACATTTTCATAAAAACAATTCCCTGCCTCCAATAGTCCAATGTAATTTGTTTTCCATCTCTGTTCATTAATCATTGTTTAAATCGGTGAGCCATCCCCTCCACTCTGCCATCTGCACTCAGCTGTGTTACAGATATGACACCTTCCCCCTTAATGGGAGCTGACAGCCAGGAGAGGAGGCCCGTGCAAAATAGCTTCCTGCATGTGCACTTCCACCTCACATACTGCCAGCAGGTGAGAGAAAGAGAGATATTTAATGGCTTCTGATTAATCTCAAAGGCAAACAACATGACACTGGCATATCATGCAGCATGCAACACCTCGGTTTGCAGCAAACAGCAGCAGCAGATGCAGATAAACTCGTGCAGACGTGCTTTGAGACAAAGGAGATGCACGCCAGATTTTGTGAAAGTTGTTTTTTTTTTTCCTCCTCTAGTTAAATTAGTGCAGTGTTCCTACAATATGCTATTGTTTTCCTGGAATTGGGAGCAAGGTTATTAATTATTCACTGTTGTGTTCTCATATGAGGGGGCTATGCTTTTCACTGTATTGCCTCATAGCTCAAATACTTAGGGCCATGGTTCTCGGGCTAATTTCACCAGGCAACATCAGAGATATTATTATCACACACGGCACACGCTTTAAAGTTTCCTGAAGAGTTTGAGCGATCGGAGAGAGCTTTAATTTTCTCTGATAAGATTTCAAAGTTGGAGAAATAAATAACTTCTGCTCAGTTTTTCCTCTTGAGTGATTTTTCACCCAGTCTAGGTTAGCTGAGGCGTTTTAGCGGATGGGTGGGGGGGAGAAAATCCGACTCAATGTGGTTGTTACAGGGTGCCAAAAAGTTCATCTGGCCTGTTGATTTCAGCGTGGATTATAGATATTCAAATCATGTGCCTGGTGTTCAAACAAGTGCTTCTATCAGGGGAGAAAGTTGCCAAGCAGAGCTTTGTCATGTAAGCTGTATGATTTCACTGCAGCATAATGAGAAAACTGGCTGTGGCGCTACATTTAATACTGTTTCATCCGCTCACCCTCCCTCTCCCTGGTTTCCTCTCAGTGATGATTTCAAACATTCCTCCAGCCTCCAAAACGGGCGGCACGGTTTGGATTTTACTAAGAAAGAAAGGTGGTGCCACCTGGACACACACGGGCCAAGAAAACCTGATTTTTGGAGGTGTTTCTAACAAGGCCAGCAGCAGCAGCAGCGGTAAATGATGTGTATATTCAAAGCTGAATATTTCATGTTGATTGATCGCACTGACTGCCACCCACCTGCTCCTCCTCCTGTCCCACCGGAGCTGGCATGAGGAGAATTCAGTAATTGAGAAGAGCAGAGCATGGTCTCTCTTTGCTCACATATGACAGATGGGGCATCATCGCTTCAAAGGAGAGCATTTGGAAACAGGAGGAAGGGAGGAGGGGGCAGCGGGCGAGGGGGCTTTGAAAAGAAGCTGTGCCGCCCTGTACAGGTGACAGCAGCATAAAAGGAGAGAAACACCTCTCTAGAATCACTCTTAAAGACAGTGCCTCTTAAAAAAACCTGTGTTAGAGGAGTGAAAATATGAGTAGATTCTGTTTTTGACAGATTACAGTGGCTGATATTTTTCTTTTGCATGTTTTACTCTCCTGATCAACTAAAAAGTGTACTTCTTTCGCTTTGCATGCATGTAAGTCTTTCTGCTTGGCTCTGTTTTTACAACTCAGTCTGATTGGCTGGACCTCACATTAGTTATACCCAAACCTGTGGTACCTGTAGTTAGTAGCACCTGTGGGGACATCATGATGGTGAAAGTTTCAGCTCTGATTAAACAAAGTCTTAGGCTGGACTTTCTTTATATTCCAAGTTCTACATTTTGCCAGAAAGATTATATTTTTCTTGTACATGCACATCTGTTTCAAATATCAGTTATTGGTCCCCAAAATTGGTATCAGTATCAGCCCTAAAAAACTATATGTCCACCCATACTTTGCTTCAGAAACAGCATAAAGAAATGTCCATTGTGATGTAGAGACGCATGCATCGGGATTTTCAATCACACTCACACGTCTCTAGGCTCTAAACTAAGCTGACACTTAAAGGAGAGAATGAGAAGAAAAAAAAAACTGGTGCTGATCGGGATGATACGGTGTGAGGTCGTGTTAAAAGAATTAAACGGAACATGTTTGCTCTGCTTTGCGCTCGAAATAAAAGACATAAACCTCTTGAAAACACATCAAATCTTCGGAAAAACTGGTTTCTTTCAATTTGCGCATCGTCTTGGGTTCCTCCATGATCTCTCAGACCTCGTAAACTCTCACTTCTAAACCTCTCCAAAGCGAAGCCAGCAGTGTCAGTTTTGGGAAACGCACGTCCATCACACCCTGACCCGTCAGAAACTTAAAACTCTCACTTTAGCAGAAATCTGCAGAGTAAATGTTGGAGTTTAAAGCAGGAGGTGATGATTCTTACCTGTCAGGCTGGAGCAGGCGCGGTGACAGCCGGAGTTTAGCGCTGACTGAGTGATGTTGAAGTGGATGACTGACTGCTGACTGATGGGCTGTTTGCTTCTCACGCTTTATCACAGCCGCCGCGTTCAGCCGGACCCGGATTCCTCCTCAAAACCGCCTCCTCTTCGTCTCTTTGGGGGAGCCTCAGGCGCTCTCGGCAGACAGAGGCAGCAGGACGCGGTGCTCGGTAGTATTTCCACTTGGTAAAAGAGGTAATGAAATCTTACAAAATTACTGGAGATACTTCGACATGTCCTGAAGCCGTATGTCTCCCTCATCTGGCCGCTGGTGTGTAAGTGTAACACTCTGGCACCGCGCGTAAAAAACGCACCGCCGTGCCCATCGGTCCTCCTCCTGAGGACCGAGCCTCTGAGAGTGTGAACGGGTTTATGAATGTCAGGTTTACAGAGGTGGTCATCTGAAAAAGAGGACTCCATAAAAACTTTCATCAAAGTGAGATACTTGCTCTTTGGAGGCATTTAAAACGTGTTCTTCACCAGACATCTAAAAATCTGCGGATTTTGATTCGACTTTAGAGGAGGGTCAAAGAAACCTGGTCCTGATCCTGAAACACTAAACCTGGACATGATAGATCAGGACAAGAAAAGCAAAGAGGCGTCAGACTTTATACATCACTGCTTTAGATGTGGCACCCTCTATATAATAAAAAGGGAGTCAACCACTGCCTTTTCTGTCATGGATCACATTAGACCCTGATCTAGAACCACTAAAAACCGGGACTTGTTTGGTCCAGGCTGTGACAAAAAAGACTTTGGACTTTTAAAAACAGTTTTTTAGATTTAATAAGTACTTTTTGTGAATTAACAAATTAAAAAGAAAAGCTACAGTCTTGTTTTTTCTTTTCTCTTCCTGACCACACCAGACCAGGTCCTGATCCAGAATCATTGTTCCAAGACTCAGATAATCTAGTCTGAGACATTTGTATTCTTTCTATGAAAATGAAAAATGGATTTCTTTCACCTTTAGACCCTATTGGACCAGATCCTTATTCAGAACCATTAAATCCAAACTTGTCAGATCTGGACTAAGATATCAAAACAGTTTGAGGCTCTCTGAAACCCATCTTTAGATTTGCCAGTCCTTTATGTTAGGAAAAGTGCCAAAATTGGTTGTTATCCATCCTGGACCCCTTTCGGTCAGGTTCTGCTCCAGAACCATTTCTCCTGGACTCTACAGTTCTTAAACACCAAAGTAGTTTTGGACTTTTAATACTCTGCTGTCAGATTTGTGAAACTCTTTGTCTTTTTGTTTAGATTTGAAATATGAGGGGAATTCACTTTTTTTTCTTCATCTAGACCACATTGAACCCGGTGCAGAACCATTTCACTTGGACTTGTAAGATCCAGATTAGAATACCAAACTGATTTTAGACCTATTAGGCTCTGTTTTAAGATTTGTGAAACGCACACCTAGTTAGACCAGGCCCGTACTTAAGTTCCCAGATCTTAGACCTGCTGAATGTGGCCTATAAATAATCTCTTTAATGTTCTTTATTTTTTGCTGCTATTTGACCTCTTGACCAGATCCAGATCCAGGACCACTTTGTCTTTATTCACCAGGAGTAGACTTGAACACCAAAAATCCTGTTTGAGATTTGTGAAACCCCTCAGCCTGTCTTTAAAAGCGCAGTTTAAAAAATGGAGATAAAAACAGGGCTACATTGGATCAGGTCCTCACCCAGAACCAGAAATCGCAGACTTACCAGATCTGGACTAAACTCAAATTCAAATTCAAAAATCTTTTGTTTGTTCCCAAAGGACAATCAAAAGTCTACAGGGCAAGTGAGAACAAAAACAGCAGGATTTGAGGGAAGTGTAAGTTATATAAAATATAGAACAGTTAGAGCAAAAACTGCATCCTGACAGGAGGATTCAGTCATAAAACATCCAAGTAAGATTCAAATAACAAATTTCAACTGTGAAAAAGTGGAGTGAGTGGTGGATGTAAGTGAATAAATCAATCTGTATGACAGCTGGCAAATATTGACAGAGTCTGGGTCAGAATATTATGTGAAAATGATGTGAATATGGTGCATGAGATAAGAAGAAAGAGTGAATTATATTAACAGCAGAGAGACTTAATTCTCATTGAAGAAAGCAGAGTGCAATAAAACTACAACATGAACAGTGAATCTACGTAAAACCTATGATATGAGAAAAACCTACACTGAGTTAACAAAGTGGTTTGCAGTGCAAGTAGTAAGAGCAGGAAATTAACATTTAACCAACAGTACAGAAAAAGCTCATACTGATGAGAAGGTGGGTGTTGTGTAACAAGAACCAAAATAACCAGGAGACAGTGAAAGTGTTTATTTATAGAAGCACTAAGAAAAAAGTTCACAGCTTTTAGTGTCTGAATTAGGCGAGGGATTCATGTGCTAGATTATCTCATCCAACTTTTTAAAAACACAGATCCACAAAATTTCTGTTCGGTTTGTAAAAACTTAAAAGGATGTCACCTCTAGACCTCGAATTAGATCAGATTCAGATCCAGAAACTACCAAACCAAGACTTTGCAGTTTAAGAATTGAATAAAAAGGCTTCAGATGTTATAATAAAACACTGTGGCAGATTTGTGAAATCTAAATATGTAAAGATGCAAAAGAAAAAGAGAAATAATGTACAATAAGAAGTTTCTCCTCTTTATCATGCTGGATGAGCTCTTACTCCAGAACTAATAATCCTAAAAATGAGAGAGGAAATGAGGCAATTTTAGTTTTTGAAGAATAAAGATTTTGCAAATCTGAAACTTTGACTTTAAATGTGGTGCAGAGTGGTTCTGGATCAGTAGTCCAGACTAGAAATTAGCAGAGAAATCTTCACTGGATGCATTTGAATTTATACACAATAGTTTAAAGCATGCATACACAGTAATAGCGTGTACATAGATGTGGATTCAGCAGATAAAATGATGAGAATGTTGCACTTGCATGACAGTGGGAGTATAGCACACAAATTATAATAAATATTAAGAAAATATAAAAGGAGCATATTGCACAAGAGAAATTTGGACATTTCCATTTAGAGAATACTGCATTTGTAAAATTTATAAACTTAAAGCATCTTTCACATTCTTCTTTAAGAAAACAAGCTAAAACTTTCAACTAAACATTACTTTACTGCTCCAAATGTATACTCAGAATGTAAACTCAGAAGTTTATAAAAGCAGCTAACACAGCTTCAGGTCTTTAGATTGTGTAGATTTGCTTTGTTTGATATAAAAAAAACATCACTGCAGGTACTTGGTTTGAAGCTTTATTCCCTGTGTAACTTGCGTTGGTAACAAAAGGGTTTGAACGTTTTAAAGTCAGCATTTTTAAGGGGTTTTTGGTGACTTATTGCACGTAATAGTTTCCTCATGACTTTTGTAATCATTATTGAATTGTTTGGGCTCTAGAATATGGGAAACTGTGAAGAGACTGACATGAAACCTTTGAATTACTCTGGGTTTTTTTTAAACTAAATGAAAGTTTCAGCTTTTAGAGAAAGAAATCATAAAAGAGAGACAGACTTACAGGATTTATCTGCTGATTTTTTAAGGCTATATTGGAAAGTGCACAGCTGTATAAGGATGAGGTGTTGTAACACTGCAGAGCTTTGACATCACCATGATCACCTGAAGGCTTGTGTCTCTCCTGAGTCTCACCTGAGCCCCATTAGAGGAGTAAAAACAGCTCCTCTTAGTGTGGGTGTTAATGACAGAAACACTTTCTGTTTGGATCTTTAATATATCGTAAGAAAAAAAAAAGCTCTGCTGTTTAATCCACTGACTCTGACATCTGGAGCAGCTCTTCCTCTCAGGCCCGAGTACCTGTCTGCAAAACAATACCTGCCTGATCCTTCATCACACACCTCCTAACAAATCCCCCCTAATCCCTGCAGTGTAGATTTGTGTGTCCTTACATAGTTTGTGCGCTTGATTTCTTTGTAATGTAGTTCTTCTATGCTCCAGCGTATACCTTCACAGCTTAACCTACATAAGACCATTGATCCGTGTCTCACCAACACAAGGCTAGCATGTTAAGCATTGCCTAATCTGTCTCATGCTACCTGGATTTTCATATTGGAGGAATAATCCTGATGAAGGGGGGGTGGGGGGGTAAAGTCACCTAAGGACCTGTTTAAAAGCTCTTTATCAAAGACCTGCACTCCCTCCATTTAGCTAGAAGGGGAGTGATAGCCTTTCAACTCACAAGCTGCAGCTTTAATTAAAGCTGCTTGTAGAGGACTTAAAGTACAGGGTGTGTATGAGCTGCCCCGTCGGAAAAAAAACTGAACTACATCAAAATGTAGAGCTGGGTCCAGAGTGACGGGCCAGTCCATTTAAAGAGGAGTCCTCAGGTGTTCCTCAGAGCTCAATATTAGGCCTGTATATGTTGATTCTGAGAGTAAATATGGACTTTGTTCAGAGCCGCTGAGATATTTTGATCTGAGGGGAATTTTCAGCAGCTTTTAAAGCTAATCACAGCTGAATGTAAAAGTAGTCTGGCATTGGATGGGGAAAATTTGACTTTCAAAAGTTATGATCAAGTTTACAAACCCAAGTTCAGGAAAACGTGGGACACAGTGTAATGTTGGGAGAGCAGATTTTAGTGTTTGCAAATACTTTTAGGCCTATATATAGAAGATATTAGTGCAAAGACAACTTCCAAAATGTCGTAACTGAGGAATGTTATTGTTTTACGAGAAAAGATCTGCTCATTTTTAAACAGAGAGATGCCAGAGAGATGTTTTATTAAAAGTTGTTACTGGAACAACCAACCAAGTAAAAAGTTGTTATAGAGGAACTCTCAGAGGGAAAGATGGGAAGAGTTATACCACTCTGTGAGAGACTGCGTGAGCTAATAGTTCAACAGTTTCAAGATAATGTTCTTGAGTGTCAAATGTGAAAGAATATGAGGACCAAAATCAAGACTGGATGGTCTTGATCTTCAGGCCCTCAGGCAGCACTGCATTAAAAACAGACAGGACTCTGGAGTGGAAATCCCTGCATGGACTCAAAATCACCTAAAAAAGCAACACAGTTCATCACTGCATCCACAAATGAGGTTAAAATTGAACCACGCAAAGAGGAAACCAGATAGAAACATGTTCCAGAAACAACAGACTTCTCTGGACCTGAGCCCAGTTATGGTAGACCGAGGGGAAGAGGAAAACTATCCTGTGGTCTGACAAATTAAAATCTGACTTTCTTTTTGGAAATCATGAACACTACATCCTCCTCTCTGAAGAGCAGATATACCACTCAGCTCGCTCTCAGTTCTCAGTTCAAATCCAGTATATCTGATGGTATGGGGATCATCAGAGACCATGTCATGGGGATCATCAACATCTGTGAAGGCTTCATTAATGTTGAACAATATCTACAGGTTTAGGAGCAACATCTGCTGCCGTCATGGCGTTATTTTCAGTGGACATTCAGCATTACAACTTTTTGGGAACTATGGTTGTAAACAGAGAGATTATGTTTTAGAGTCTCTGAGGCTTCAGTCCTCATTGAACTGATTTTAGTTTTGATGCCCAGTCCTGACATGATTTTGTGTACATCCTTCGCTACTCACTCTAAATGGTTCCTGTCTCTCTCTTAAATTTATGTCTGATAAAGACTAAAAAATACCCCCCCCCCCCCCAAAAAAAAAAAACCCTAATAATAATAATAATAAAATAAATAAAAGAAGACCTCAGAAAAACTAAAGAAAAATAATAAAAGACTAGATTTAAGGCTTTAATTTTTTCTTTGTGTTGCTCAGATAAAACATGCCACAATTGCTGTCTGGTTTGGATAACACCTTCTAAATGCAGCTTACCGTCATTGTGATGTTGCAAAAAGAAGATGAGAAGGGATATAGAAGTGTTGATTACTGCAAACACATCAACACCATGTTTTAAAAAACAGTTTTGTCTTCACACTCAAAGATCTGGTAAAGATTTAACACACCAAAAATATAGTACAAAGCAAGAGAGATTATTTCGAAGTAATATTCCAAAAATGTTGACAGATTTCACCGGAAGGCTTAACCTAAAGAAACTCTCTGCTCATAAAACAATGAAGAGTTTGTGTTATAAAGTCTGTGGGCTGGAGTTGTGAAATAATCTGAATCTGGGACTAAATCTAAGCACAAACATTATTCTGTTCAAGAATTTGAACCAAAAAAATCCCACTAATTTAAGAAAAGGAAAGGGTTTGGTAGATCAATAGGGCCAGAACAGTCCTGACCTGAAGAGAACTGGACTCCTCCAGACCTCTGTGGTACCTCCTCTACAACATTAGCAGCAGGTTTTCCAAGCTTGGATGTGAGGCTTCCATGGAATAGACGTGATTGTCAAGCACATCCCACAGAGGCTTGTTTGGATTGACATCTGGAGACCAGGGGTCCGTTTCACGTAGGTGGTTCAACAAACTCTGAGTTAAATCCTTAACTCTGAGTTGATCTACTCTGAGTTAGGAAACTCTGAGTTTCCGGTTTCACAACACCTGATTTGAGACGGTTTTAACAACTCCGAGTAGTTTGACCTGGAGTTAAGCACGTGCACGCCAGACATAAACAGCCAGCATCTGTGGAGCGCAGATTCAATGATCAACCAATGGAAACAGGGAGAAGGAGGGGGCAGCAGCAAGCCAACAGCGAATTACAGCACGTTTTTAAAAGAAAGTGCAATACAGCAGCAGCTGCAAAGGAGAGGGAGAGGGCTTGGGAGGAAATCGCTGCTCGCGTCAATGCGTAACTTTAAATCTAGTCTCGTGCAAACACAATGACAGACTGTTGCAGGGAAACTGCTTGAATCATTTTGATCATGTTTTACATTGTCAAGTAAGTATTAAGTGGCAGTTTGATCCCTTAGAAAATGCTCTTTTCACACTCAAAACTGAATTTTACTCTCTTATGATGTTCCGTTAAATGATTAGGAATATTAAACTAACTCTCAGTATGTATATGTACATATATTAAACTAACACACACTACACTCAATATTAGACTTTCACTCAGCAAACAGAAAGAGGGCAGATGCCAGAAAAACGGGTGGTGGTCCAGCAGCCCCACCTTTAACGGAGGCAGATCGCAACCCCCACCCCGTAGCAGCGATCGTCGGACTGGTGTGCGTGTGTGTGTGTGTGTCTGTGGGGGGGGGGGGGGGGGGATTTGCGATCGGACCGGCCGCGATCGTTGAATGGGGGGGGGGGGGGGGCAGCTCCTCTGCCTCCGTTAAAGGTGGGGCTGCTGGACCACCACCCGTTTTTGTGTTAGTTTAATATTCTTAATCATTTAACGGAACATAATAAGAGAGTAAAATTCAGTTTTGAGTGTGAAAAGAGCATTTTTTAAGGGATCAAACTGCCACTTAATACTTACTTGACAATGTAAAACATGATCAAAATGATTCAAGCAGTTTCCCTGCAACAGTCTGTCATTGTGATTGCACGAAAATGCCGATGTCTCACCTGAAACTCTGGGTTTACTGAGTTAAACCTGCTCCCGAGCAGGTTAGGTTCACGGAGTCTGTTACTGTGGTAACTGACCGCGAGGTTGAGTTACCTCTCTTTGTGAAACAGGTTAGAGTTACCCCTCTCTCCCTGGTTTAACTAACCCTCCTTTGTGAAACGGAAAACTCAGAGTTTCCCCGATTTCAGGGTTAACAAACTCGGAGTTTCCACTAAACCTGCTACGTGAAACGGACCCCAGGTCAACATCTTTGACACGTTTTTGTGTTTCTTACCCTCTCATTGTTGTCTAACCATCACAGTTTAGTCTTTCTCAAAGTCGCCCACCTCCTCAGACTCACACAACTATCATTAGCTTTGTTACAGTGATAGAAACAGAGAGACTTTAGTTAAAGATGCTAACAGCAGCTGAAAAGCAGGCAGGTCCACAGCATCGAAACATCTGTTGCAACAACCCAGAGGAACCTACAGGATGATGGAACTCAGGGACTCCTAGAAAAGACTGTATTAGTGACTCTAATGCAGTGGTTCTCAAGTCCAGTCCTCGAGGCCCACTGTCCTGCATGTTTTGGATGTTTCCCTGCTCCAACACACCTGATTCAAATGATCAGCTTGTTATCAAGCTCTGTAATGGCTTAATAACGAGCTGATCATTTGAATCAGGTGTGTTGGAGCAGGGAAACATCCAAAACATGCAGGACAGTGGGCCTCGAGAACTGAACTTGAGAACCACTGCTCTAATGGGACATGATGATTCAGAGTTACTGACACAGACAGAGAGAGGATGGAGAAGAAGGCAAAGGTGATCAATGTGCTCAATGATTCCGGATCCCTAAACTGTTTCTAATATGTACTCATTAAGTTTTGTGACTTTGTGAATTTTTTTGGAAATAGTGTATACAGTGTGTCACCTCAAAATAAAAGCATTTTTTACAAGCCAGTTTTGTTATGATGTAACGTGTCCTCCATCCTTGTTGTTCCTCAGTTTGATCTGTTGTTTTGCTTTTTCTCAGCTTTCCATTGACAACTGGATAACATCTTTGATATGAATCTTTGATTATGAGGTAAAATTGTGATATTGTAAAAATCACTTATTCTGTAAGTGTCCATAATGTTGACTTATCTGTGTGTGCATGGAGATCAAAACTTGGTGCACTGAAAGCTAAAAACACTTTTTTTGCAGAAATATAGCACAAAAAGTGAAATCATTTTCATGGAAATGACACAAAGAAAGCAAAAAGTGACTTTTCCAGTTGCTACAAAGTTATTTTTTAATGTCCTATTTTTGTTGTTTCATCAGCTTTAACCTCTAAATCAAACTTTCTCTTTTCCCACAGTTTAAATTTGAGTTTTATTTCACATTTAACGTTGTTGTCCAAATATCTTCCTTCAAAAGTCCTCACAGTCTACTTTTATCTTCCTTCTTGGTTAAAAATGATGACTGGCTTACAGCACTGGAGGTGGTTTTTGGTGGAGCTCTCTAAGTTTTTATGTACAACAGGAAAATTATGAGGGTGAGCAGTCACTCATTAGAACCCACTAGCTCTCAAAGTGTCCTGAATTATTTGTGTAAAGATTTAAATAATATGCAACAACAGCAGAGAAAAATCTGACTGTGTTCAGGATATTCAAGAAGACAGATAAAATCTGTTCTTAAAAAAAGAAGACAACATAAGATTTTAGTCAAAAGGGGTTTATTTTCCATCAATATTCTTTTTTGTCTTTACATAAAGCTCATCACAAAGGATCACATACATTCATTAGGCAGATCAAAGGAGCGCAAACGGCACCTGATTCTGTTCATGATCCAAAAGAAACAAAACAAGGCGACTCATCCTAACAGGTGGAGTCTAAATACTGATCTACAACGACATGAGCGAGGATCAGCGGATAAACAGGTGACAGACAGGTGATCAGTTTAACAGGCTCCAAAAAGAGAAGAAGTGAAGAGAGATTTCACTGTCAGGAGAGAGGATGAGGAAACGCATTTAGGTGTGTTTGAAACTTGTTAGAGAGAAGTGTGCACACAGGGGAGCTGTTAGAGTTGCTGCTGTGCTTTTCCTCACTGTGACACATGAAGAGAGATAAACTCCAGAAAGAAGAGAGGATGGTCTGTCCAGTTTAATCAGTCATAGAAAAGAAAGAAGAGGGCTGCAAAAAATCAGAACTAAGAAGTTTAGGTGAAAATAGGATGTTTGTTCAGTCACTTCTGCTGCAGCCGTGCTGCTTTAAACTTCGATACCCTCTTCGGGGCTTTTTCAGGCGGGGCCACGTCAGGCGTCACCTCCTCCTGTTTCCTCTCCAGGATGGTGGGCAGAGCCGGAGGAACGATGGTCAGGTGAGGAACAGCTGAAGGCATCGGGTCCTTTTCTACCACCGTACCAGAGAAAGCCTGAAGGAGAGGAAGAATCTGGATTTAGAGTGAGAATCGACAACTGAACTGGTCTGATGATTTAGGATAAAGGTTGAAGAGAGTCAGTCAGTCAGAGAGTTCACCAAAGACCTTTGAATGACCTCTTTGACTGAACTAACAGCTAAAAACAGGCTCAAGAAAGAGAAGAACTGATGACAATGTGCTTTTTTTTTCATAACACACAACTCTTTCTACATGTTTTTATAACAAAACAACACATGCTGATACTGAAAAAAAAATCTTTTTTATAAAATAAATCTATGTGGTTCCCTTAACCCTTTGGAGAGGAGGAGGCAGTGTCTAAGACTTCCAAAAAGAATGCCAAAGCTGCTGCTGGTGTCTCTGGATCCTGTTTCTATCCGGTTTCCTCTTTGAATGGTTCAGTTTGAACCTCAGTTGTGGATTTAGTCATGAACTGTGTTTACTGAAAATGGCTTTTGGAAGTTATTCAGAGTCCATGCAGTGATTTCCACTCCAGAGTCCTGTTTGTTTTTAATGCAGTGCTGCCTGAGGGCCTGAAGATCAGGACCATCCAGTCTTGGTTTTGGTCCTTGTCCCTTTAGTCTAGAGATTTCTCCAGATCCTGTGAATCTTTTAATGATATCATTTACTGTAGATGATGAAATCCACTCATTCTTTCACATTTGACACTCAGGAACATTATTCTGAAACTGTTGAACTATTAGCTCACACAGTCTCTCACAGAGTGGTGAACCTCTTCCCATCTTTCCTTCTGAGGGACACAGAATCTGCATTTTCAGTTCTGATTCCTGACAATGACCTGAAGCACCTACATGATGCAGCTCAGGCTTTATTCTGTTTCTTTTTTTTTTTTTCAATACACTAGGCAGTGTTTAAAAATGATGGGTGCTCCTGGGTGTGATACTGAAATACAGAGCAGGTGCTCAGGGTCACCACAGGGTCTGAAGGGTTTAGCTGTTCTGTTCATGTAGCCTTGTGTATCAGAGATTTAATGACTGTTTGACCGTATATGCAGCAGCTGTTTTAACGTAAAGAGGCCTCTGTGGGGGTTTTGTTATGTTCTCATTAAGCAGTCTGGGGCTCAGAGGTGTCATTTTCATTAATTGTTTTTGTGATCGAGGTATATTACAGGATGTTGACTGAGATTAAAGACAGAGACTGAAGTAAGCAAAATAAAGGATCAGCTCTTTGGTTTACCTCAAATCTGCTGGTGGGGTGCAGAGGGACCGCTGTGGGGCTGTCCTCCTCCGTGATGCCGTCACTGGTGTCGCTGTGCGTCGCCTCGTCGTGGCTGAAGCTGCGTCCGATCATCCGGCGCTCCTCAAAGTCTGCCGCGCTGCTCTCGCTCGTGTCGCTGCAGACGCTGTTCTCTCGGCTGCGGGACTTTAGGATGGACTTCCTGGGAATGGGCTCTCCGTTTTTCACATCCACAAACAACCTGCGCAAAACAACAGACCAGATTCACACTGAGATCACAGTCTGAAATTTACTATTCACTTTGGATAACCTTCGACCTTTAGACCCTGCTCTATCTACCTCTCTTTGACCTGGACGGTTGGAGCTTCAGAGTAAATGAAAGTAGCCGGCTCACCTTTGGCTTATTCCTTTAACAAATTCTACATCAACATGTGGAAATTGTATCTGGGTCTTTTTTGTCTGATAAGTTTTCTGCTTTTTATTTGAGGTCAGAACTAGATCAACGTTTAAATATCAGCAGGCAAAAGTAGCAGGAAGAGAATCCACCATAATGACACCGAGGCAGAGCTTGGGATGCATCATTCAATCTGTTGGTCTTCAATTATTCTAGTGGGTCATTTATGAAGTGAATTTCACTCTAATAAATCATGAATTAAACCGTTAATTTCAGTTGTATTTAGTCCAATTTAATGTCTTTATTTCCACACTATTTCACTCATGTTAGATATTTAAATGAAAATATAAATATGGCAAATTTTTTCACAAATAAGATTAAAAAATAATTACTGCTTCTATGCAAGTCTTTCTTCGTGCAAATAGTCTGCAAATTCTGACCTATGGTAACCCCGCCATACAGCCTGACGGCAGTGGACTCTGGGGTTCACACACAGCGGGAAAATACATCAAAGAGAAAGCAAAGCCTAGTTCCTTATAACACTGTATTCACTCCTAAAAAGCTGAATTGCTGACTTAAGTCTTGGTGTTGTTTGATGTTTGTGTGTAAAGTGTGTATATGTGGCAGTTTTAATCTGTCTACATTGTTAATTGAGTTTGTGCAAGATTCCAACATAACCCTGGAGCACCAGATAAACGGGACCCTGACTGCCCCGAGCATGTCGCACTCTTCGTACAACCTTTGTTTTCGGGGGCGGAGTTAAACATGTAGCAGGTTTTAGCTTTAACTTCAGCTCATTTTGAACTAAACTCACTGATTTAATGTTATTAAAGCCCACCTCTCTGTAAACGGCTGAAAAGGTAACAGAGTTATACTTTTGATTTACTGTGCCTCCCTCTGCATCCCAGATTGTCTTACTCAGTCATAACAGATGGTAATGAACTTCCCAACAAAAAAACATTTTTCTTTTAAGAGTTACATAAAATAGTAGAGATAAAATATTACATCTGGCGGTCATATTTACCTGTAGATATCTGTAGGTGTTGTGATTTTGTGGTGCTCGTGGTGAGAGTGTCCGTTATTGTGTCCGTTTTTCTTTTTCCTCTTGGAGTGCTCCTTCTGTTCTTTTCTCTCGCTGAACTTCAGCATGGTGTTTTTTCCTGTGTTTATCCTCACCTGGAGGTAAAAGCAGAAAAAATGATCAAAACTCTGAATCAACAGAATATGTAAAAAATGAAAAGAATGAGTTCAAACACAAATCTGTGGCAGATTCAAAGTTATTTATCACTCCGACCTTCTTTGGCTCAACTGTGTGAGAGAAAAAGATGGTTGGCAAACAGCTGTTGTCATTCTCATCATCTCCATCATCCTCTTCTTCCTCCTTTTTGTCCACAGTGGGCGGAGCTTTACTGTGGGGAGCTGACAACCAGCTCGGCTTCAGACTCAGCCCGTTCACTGGAGGTGCAGCTTCACCCTCCTTCTCCTCCTCTGAGGAGAGAGATGAGGTGTCCTCTCCGTTCATGTCTGCGTTATCTGACAATCTGCAGGAAATGTTTAAAGTTTTAAAGAGGTCAAAGTTCAGCAAACACTAGCGCCTCTGAAAAAAACAACAAGAACGCATTCATCCACCTGTCCTGCTCGTCCTGAAGCTCCTCCAGTTTCTCCAACTCATCCAACCGAGCCCACAACTCCTCCTCTGTCAGGACACCTTTCCTGCTCCCTCCATCTCCCCCCTCTTCTTCATCTTCCTCATCCTCCTCCTTCAAATCCACAACCGCCTCAAACTTGGGTTTGGAGTTTGGTTTGTGAGCTACTCTGTGCTTTCCTGTGAGTACAGACAGAACAGAGATGAAGTATATCAGTATGTAAAGATGGATGCTGTGAGAGCTCCCAGAAGTGACGCCAAAATATAACATTGAGCGTCTGCTTCAAACCAACAGAAGAACCTGTGCGGCTCAATCAGACCCACCTGAGGGAGCTTGGATTTTTTAGGTACATGTGTGTTTACATTGGTGTGAGTGGGACACGGATACCACAGCCAAACTCCATTTTCTGAGTTCTGATGGGGGTAAAGATGTCTCTTATTAAAAGATGTAAAGGTGAAATGAAGTCAGGTAAGAGGATACCTTTGGTGAGAGCAGTGTCGATGTTTCTGTCCTCTTCTCTGATGTCAACATAGTCCTCTTTACTCTACAAGAAAAACAGTCAAAACATTTGTACCATAAATACCTTAAAATGGAGAGAGTCTACTGATGTTCAGCCTAACATCGTCCCTCTAACAGCTCTGTAGCAGCTTAACACGACCGACGACTCAGAAAATCATTTCATTACCTCAGATTAGTCTGTAAAAAACTTCCCATTTCAACCTCCGTCTGAAGCATTTCATACCTCACACCAAGTGCAAGTAAAATCATTTGTGCAAGTAAAATACATGTAAAGTCAATGCAAAGACGCAATATGTGCAAATTGAGCGGGTCATACGTGTGAATGATACAAATTACCATCCCCTCGCTTCAAACGCCTATTCTCGAGGGTTGAAAATATCTAAACTCAAGAGAATGTTCGCGTCGTGACAACAGATCAGTACGGAGATATCCCGTGACGTATGTCAACAACAGACCAGCAGGTCTTATTATCTGGTAAGTTCTTCAACTCAACAGCTCCTCACAGTGTGGCCATCCCCTGCTATGTCTGCACATGTGTGTTTGGACACTCTGCAGACGCAAAACAAATTAAGCAAGTAAATACACAACATTCACGCGTCTATATGCGTGTGAATTAAGCGAGTAGATGACTTTATTCGAGCTTGGTGCGAATGCAACATTAGAGGAACCTCAAAGCACTCTGGAGTTCAGCATTCTAGAACCCAGCTTTCCAAAAGCCAACATTCCAGAACTCCGAATTCCAGAACCCAGTGTTCTGGAATCTAGATTCCAGAAGCCACCATTCTGACCCCAGCTTTATAAAACCATACCCTCTTGGTCCAAACTTCCTGGAAACCAGCATTTCAGAAACCAGTGTTCTATAAACTGGTACTCCAGGACTCATCATTCCAGAACTAAGCATTTCAGAACCCAGCATTCCAGAATCCTACATGCTGAAGCCTTGCCTCCCAGAACCCTGTGACCCAGCTGTCTGAAGCCCAGATTTCTGGAAACCAGTATTCCAGATTCCAGCAGTCTGGAAACATTTCAGTGTTCTGCATTCTGGAACTCATCTTTCAAGAATCGAACTTCGCATTTCAGAATCCAGTATCCACATTCCAGCATTCCAGAACCCCCCATTCTAGAACTCAGCACTCTGGAACCCAATATCTCTGAATCCAACACTCCAGAACCAAGCATTCCAGAATTCTGCTTTCTTTCACGAAGCACTTCAGCATCCTGCATTCTCAAGCCAGTTATTTTCAAACCCCAAGTTTTAGAACCCAGCATTCTGGAACCCAAAATTGTGGAACCCAGCTCTCAAGAACAGTCCTTCACTGTCGCCATGGTACAAAACCTTGTTTCTGTATTTTTGTGAATCTTAAATCTGACCCTGAGAGTCTGGAAAGGGACATAAAACCAGCATTACAGGACAAGTAACTGTTTGGTTTATTGATCCTTGTTAAGGAGATTCACTGATTCTGATGATCCAGATTCTGGTGAGTTCTAATATGCTGATGAGAAAACCCTGCAGTCTTTGTCTGAGCTTAACCTAAGACATCTTTACCTCACAATCTAAAACTGTGGTCATGTTAAATGTTCTTAATATTTTTTGTTGGTAACATACGTAAAAACATAAATCACCTCTTTAAGTGATATCGATCAGAGAGAGAGTTTGTAGAAATGTGACTTACGCCTGAGATTTCCAAATCCTTTGCAAACCCGACTCTGGCTTCAAAGTTCTTCATGGTCTTCGACAGCTCGTCTATTTCTCTCTTCACAACTGCAGAAAAATCAGGAAATTAGCATCAAAATGTGCATTCAGACAGAAACACTGCAAAAACTGGCTCCAGGCGAACAGAGATTTAAATAAAACTTTTCATACCAAACATTTCTAGGAAGAGCGGCAACCAGACGCCGAAGAGTTAAAAACCAAAACAAGTTGGGGGGAAAAAATTGAAAAATGATGACACAAACAGTTCATAATATCTTCTGCCCTGAATACTACTCCGGATCATTAAATCTTGACAACAATTAAGCCCTTTTGCTAATAGCAGCAGAGGGCCCCTGTTTCCATGGCGATGGGGAGCCCCTCCAGTCAGCGCATCAACTGGAAGTGAAGAAAGGTCAAACACAGAAGGCCTGACAACTCCGCCGCTGTCTGACACATCTCAGCTAGCTGTGTTTGTATTACAGCACTTAGCTCTGTAATAGCGGGGTGGGCAGGGTCAGAATGGGGGGGGGGGAGGTTAAGAGTATGTGTGTGTGTGTGTGTGAGAGAGAGAGAGAGAGGAGGGGGGGTGCAGACGGCTGAGGATGGGCTGTGGCAGCACATTTCTGCTTCACTAAACACTCTAATAATGTTCACATCAGAGATCGTTACTCGGGCCCATTTGACTTGATATGAGATTTTCAGCCCCAGAATGAGCAGCGGGGCAAACACACACTTACAAACACACACACTAACAAACACACAGTCCAAACAGCAATAAACATACACACTCAGACTTTAAACATTTCATCATCACCCAGTTTAAGCACAGAAGAGACAACGCTATAAGCTCTAAAACAGAGGCAGTGATGAATGAAGGTGCTGCAAACACTGCCATGCACATGTGCAACAAAGTATAAAGCAGGTCTTATAAAGCATGCAGACTTCCACTGTTTCTTCTGTGATCAGCATCAGCACAAAAAATATCTTTAACCTCAACTACAGCTTTACAAACTGCTGAAAGTTCATCTTTTATCATCTGAACAGAAAAAAATGAAGTTCAGAGAGTCTACAGAGCTCAAAGTTTCTCTGATGCAGCAACAGCACCCTCTGCTGGATAACAAAGCGAGGTTCAAAATAATATTTTCACACTGGAGCTCATTCACCACCATCTCCATGAGTTTTTCTTTTAGGAGAGTTCCTTAGAAAACTCTGAGACAAGTTTATGACCTTGTTTTTAAATTCAGTACATGCTGTATCCTCATAAGTTGGGCATTTGCTCCATTTGTCCCTGTTAAAGTGGGAACATGCTAAAAGTATTCGGTACAATACATAGTGAGTGAGGGAAGGGTGAGTACAATATATCATGTGGCCTGGAAAAGAGACACGAGACAAGACGAATAAGAACATCTGACACTAAGCAGAGAAATCGCTCGAGAATGATGAAGATGTCTGTTTACACCTTTAAACCATCTCTGTCACTTTGTCATGAGTTTTAAGAAGTAGGGCTTCTTTAAAAAAGTTGGTGAATGAGTCCAAAACTTCACCTCTCTGACAGAAGAGAGCGAAAACAACCTTCAAATCAGACTCACATTTCATCCGGTGCTCCACCAGCTTCTCAGCCTGCTTGGCCGAGCACTTGGCAAACCAGTTGTCCCCGAGCAAGGCTGTGATCTCGTTTGTGTGCACGAGCTTTCCAGGCATGAAGGCCAGAGGGCCGAACGGCACCTGTTTATGAGGGGATAGGGGGGAAGAAAGGGTAATAAGAAAGAGAAAGAGTTTAAGAGAGCAGGGGGGTAAATGTGGAGGTAAGAGAGAGGGCGGATTCACACTTTCAAAAGACAGCAGTGACAATAAATGCATTCACGATTTGTTTATGCACTAAGCAGATGATGCTCGGAGATAGATGTACTTTTTTTTAACTCTCTCAGAGCTCAGGTAGGTTTAGTGACCATGTCGGCACTCACCATGACGTCATAACACAGCTGGTCAGGCAGAGTCTGAAGGCGCTCACTCAAGGCTTCATAGTCTCCTGACACCTTCTTCCTGCAGAAGCATCAATTCACAAAAACAGCTCTGAAGTAATTCCGGTAACATTAGTGAGATTTGTTCATTTTCATCCGCTATAATATAACTGCTGTTTGGCCAATATTGGCTAATATTAAGATGTGAAGCAGAACAATGAGCAGTGATCACTGAGTTAGTTACTGAGGACATAGGTCACTGTGAAGGAGAACTGAAACTTTTTGAGAGCAAAGATATAACTCTCTTTCTTCTATTATTAACAGGATTAAAGTTTCATGACAGCCTCACAGCAGAGTCAAGACAGAAGAGCAAAACTGGACTTTTACAAAAGAGCAGAATAAAGCTTTGTTGTGTACAACAGAGAGGCAGTGACGGTGGGTGATCAGAGAATAAGAATTGCAGATTCTTTTGGTTGGTTTCTGTCTGGACTGTAAGCTTGTTACTGAACTCACTGTGTGGCTGCATGTGTCTGTGAATCAGAATAATCGAGCTAATCACCGCACACTCCAAACAAATGCCTCTGATTGGTCAGGGAGAGTCCGACACTCCAAACACAGAGCGTCAATTCTACACAGAATCAGTCTTGATTAGCAGAGGAGGCCAAACTCAAGGTTTTTATGATGACATGAATCTGCAGAAACACAAACTGAGCTGACAGAAATAAGAAGGGAATCATACCCACAGCTCCACGTCTGCATGAAATACTGATTTAATTTCTTTGAAAATGTGTGTTTTATGTGACAAAGATGAGCACTCAGAGACCAGGGATGTGAAAATGTTGGCTCACAGGCTGCAGCAGCCAGTAAAACCAGACACAACAGAATCCAGCATCTTCAATATTTTAACTTCTGATGTCCTTTTTTAAGGAGAATGGTGTAAACAGAGACAAAACAGCTTTTCTGTCCACTATAGTATTATTAGTGTACTGTCTATACTGTACTATCAGTGTTTTTACTCATGTAGGGCTGTTGAGCTGTCTTAACATTTCACTATTTTATTGGCTATTTCTCATGTCAGATCAAAAATACCTCATCAGCACCATCATTAGTTTTCATGTCTGTCTCCATGTTAATTTCCATGTTTAAAGCCATCCATGTTTCTCGGTATGGTGAAAATTTTCTTTTAATTTCATCCTGATCAAGTCATGGAAGATTAATGCTGATAGGTGCTGTCCAGTCTCACGATTAGGTATTGACCCTTCTATCCTCCGGTCAGTGCAGGAGTCACTTTTTTTACAGTCTTTCAGAGGAAAAAGTTGAAGTTCGGTTACGTTTTCTTCTGTATTCTTTAAAAATCAGCAAACTTAACCCCTGTCAGCTCCCAGATCCAACTTTTCAATCAGTGCTGCTCTGTTTTGTTTGTGTGTGTGTTTTTGTGTGTGTGTGTGTGTGTGGGGGGGGGGGGGGGGGGGGTAAAGTGTTGGACAGATTTTTCATTCCTGTATATAACTAGTTTAACAGTATATTGTGGGTAAATGTGCATTAGCCAATCATATGACTCCAATGACGCAGACTTTTTAAGTTTGGTAATACAAGATAATAATATTGTTTCTGTAATGGCTAAAAAATAAATAAATAAAATTAAACAATAAATATTTAGCCCAGGCTGTAAACCTGTTCAAATTTATTTTTGCGATATTTTAAATGAAAAATAAAGTTCATATAAAACACTTAATAGCAACAAATAAAGCACGGAATAATACAGGGGGCCAAAGTTAAAGCTCCTGTAAGGAGATTGTTGACATCTGTGAAATAGACTGAAACTCATATTGATGGTTATGAGGATTATTGTTATCATTACACATACATTATGATAATCAGAATTAAAATTCACCAATTAAGTATAACTTTATGCAGCAGAGAAAGAGAGCGATGGAAACATGACTTCTCTCAGAACCCTTAAAAAGACTAACAGCCCCTGTATTGACTGTAACTTCAAAATATTTCATAGCAGACTGAAATCTGTGCAGAAAAGTATCAATGTTATACTTAAAGTTATACCCTTATAAAAAATACTCACATATCAGAACCTCTTTTGGCAAACTTTAGGAGTTAATAATTCAGAAAAACAGAAGACTGAGTTCATTGTTAGAAAAAGACGGTAGTTTTTAATGCTTACCAGTGTTGAATCCGACTCTCGCAGTCTCTCACCACCTGTTTTAGGACAAATTATGTCAAAGTGAATCACACTGACAATCTTGGAAAACTCTTGCATAAAGGGTTTGTTTAAACTTTAACCAAAGCCACAGAGAGATAAGAGAAAACAAATACTCTGACTTTATTGTGATTGTAAATGTTTTGGTCAAAGTTACAGACTGATCACTCTGAGAATCAGGATCCAGGAAGAAGGAGAGGAAGATAAACACAGCTGTTCGAACGCCGTCCATGGTGAGGACGTTTGTTCAGTCAGCTCTGGACCGTCACTGTGGTGGGACAGCCACATGAACCCCCACCACCCCCAACACACACACACACACGGATACTCCTTGGGGTCTGCATGGCTCTCATGTGCTGTTTGAAACTTTGCTTGCCAGGGTCACACTCTTAACATTTCAGAGGATACTAGTAACAAGTTTGACCTCAGCCACAGAAGTTTGACCTTCAACTCACAGGGGGCACAGAGGACACTTAAACATGCTGCTGTATCATTTTAAAACCAACTTTATTTTGGTCTTTTAGTCCCAATTTGATTTTCATCAATTTATCCAACTTTACTTATTTAGGACTCTTGTTTTATGGACTTCTATTTGGCATAGTTAAAATAGAACTAGGCCTGTCACGATAACAAATTTTGCTGGACGATAATTGTGCTACAAATTATTGCCGATAAACGATATTATTGACACCATTTTTTAAATTATAGATAATGATATTATATGGCATAATAATGCGAGTACACCCTGTCAAAAGTGATAAACTTTAATTTCCACACGAGAACAACACTGGTTGTTTTCGTTGACTAAAATATTTCCCTTTTCTCCCACGACGAAGACGTAACGTTGACGAGCTAAACATAAGTCGGAGATGACTAAAATGTGACGAGACGAAAGTGCGTTTACGTTGATGGGACGAGACGGAGATGACGAACAGAGTTGCAAAACTCAGTCAGTTAAACGCTAAACATATAGGAGCAGCTTCAGTCCGCTCTGACAGCTCTCATCAGCCTGCTGTGCTCCTCCAACACACAGACACACATGCACGCGCGCGCGCGCACACACACGTGGAGTTTTGTGGTTGACGAAAACAAAACTGGTTTAAAGCCGAAATATTCCCACACTTGGGCTGTTGCGTTCGGTTTAGACACCAAAGCTGTCGTGTTCATTCTGTTAGATTGCTTTTCACTCACGACGCTCACTTGCAGCACTGTATCCAAAAAGTCTGTGTCTGTGTGCCTGTGCGCGCCAGCCCCCTCGTGACAAAGACACTGAATGACTGACAGGAGGGTTCACTAACTCTGTTCATTCCGCCATAGAGCCAACGCCCCCAGGTGCCGAGAACAATGCGCAGAGTGAGACCTCTTCTCTCATCCAGCGTGTTTGGTAGCGAGAGAGGAGGAAAACAAACGCACGTCAATTATCGAGGCTGGCAAAGTTATCAACCTCGTTTTTATTTATCGAGCGATAAAGCGATTTATTGATTATCGCGACAGGCCTAAATAGAACTATAGCTGAGTGTCTGGATGATACATGATGTTTCTGATGCAGCTGACTGGATAGTGAATGTGGCCTTTCCTAGTTTCCAACAGTATATATCTATTTAATAAAAGCATGATAGAAAACAAAGTTAGGAGCAACATCTGCTGCCAGACAATGACTTTTTTCAGGGAAGACCTTCATATTTCAGCAAGACAATGACAAACCCCATTCTGCAGGGAAAACAACAACATGTCTTTGTCATGGGAGAGTCCTGCTGCTGAACTGGCCTGCCTGCAGTCCTATGAAGCAAGACTGGGACAACATTTCACTATCAGACCCCAGAAACTGGTCTCCTGGGTTCACTAATGTTTACAGAGGGTTGGTAAAAGAAGAGCTGCTGACACACAATCGTAAACATGAACCTGTGACTACTTTCTAGAAACATGTTGCTGCATGAAATTTAAAAAATGAATGTAATTTTCAGTCACTCGGATTTCAAACTAATATTGTGTCCAAAATTTTTGTACTTTAGATTGTTTCTATATTTGTTTGGTCTGGTTAAAGCACTAGACGTGAATGCCCCCAGCGTTGCAGCCATCCCCTGTCTCCCCTACTACTGAGTGAAGCTTACTCTCACCGTTAGTTGTCTGACTTAAGTTTAAAGACGGTAAAATTTGTTTTTTATCAATCTCGACGCCAATAAATCTGCAACCATAGACGTAAAACACACAGTCTGGTTTTAGATTTGCAGAGAAACGAAAGCAAACACACCCACAGATAACATTTACTCAACAGGGACATGTGAGAGACTACGAGGAGGAAGCTTCTGGAAAGTGGACACAGATTACGGATGTGACATGCTTGTCGGTGTGAGTTCTGTGCAGGGGTTTGTGTGTAAAGTGAAATGGCCAGGAGCGGATCACGCGTAGGTCAGGGACGTTGCTGCTCCGCCGCGTGGTGTCTACCTGTGTGTGGCTAACGGTTGATGTTGGGTGTCGGAGCAGCTCGATGTTGGGTATCATACCTTCTTATGCTCCTCTCTGAGCCTGACAACTCCACCGAGGGGCTCTGGCTTGAGTTTACCTTTGCCAGCCATCTTCTACCCACGTGCACAGCCGTGAAATGTTGCGTTTAGTGTCCCCAAACAAAGCTCAGGGGTGTTAGTGAGTCCTAAAGAAGTGTTTATGAATGCAGCAGCAGCAGCTTCTCCTCTCAGCCGTCCTGCTCGTTTTCATCCACCAGGCTGAAGAAGTTATCCTCTCTCTCTGAGCTGAGACCATTTCACACTCTCATTTCAAGGTTTCTGCCTCATCACCAAAAATATCCACGCGTTTAATAATCCAAAAATCACACGGTATTCCTCTTCAATCTCCCTGCTACGTGCAAATCGGTCCGACGTCAAGGTGCGACAATAGCTACGCAACTTCCGGTCAAGCTATTCAAAATAAAAGGCGTTCTAGGCGGAGTAAACTCCTGTAAAACTCCTTTAAGCAGTGTTTGGTCACTAAGGAAACAAACTGTAAACACCATTCATTTATTCATTTATTTATTTTATTTTATTTTATTTTATTATTATTATTATTATTTATTATTTATTTTTTTTTTTTTTTTTTTTTTTTGGGGGGGGGGGGGTCCAACAAGAACAACAGTAATTGGATACACAGCTACAGTTGAGTAGGAGCCAACACAGAGGAAAAAAAGCCATCTCAGTATTTTCCCTGAACAAAAATATAAAATTTTTGGTTGGCTGTGAAAAAGGAAATTAGATTGAATGGCAGAAAACACCAATTATAATGTGGAATCTTACCTCAAGGGACTCAGCTGATCACACTTGTGTAAACTTTAATGTGGGTAAAAGTAATGACCGGCAACTTAAATCCTGAAACTTATTCACAAGCAGAATTTGTTTGTTGTTTTTTTTTGCAATTGGACACCCTGCCAGATAAGTTTGCTTCATGCTGATGATTTATTTTTTTAGCTTATTTATGTACTGTAGTTATTGATGTAATGTACTGTATATATTAATGTATTATTATTATTATTTTTATTATTATTATTGATTAATTTATTAATTACTTTATTTGTTTATTATTTTTGTGCGTATTTTTGATTTCTCCAACAGAAAACACCACTGTGTAAGATGGTACTAAGAAAAGGTACTCATTTATGAAATTTATTCTTGTTGAATTATTAAATCATCTGTCAGTTTGGTTAAAATTTGCTGGGTAAAATCAGTCAAGTTTTGAGTAACAATCTGTAAGTGCATGGTGTGAAATACCATCATAATAAGGTATTTTATTTTGAAAGCAAAGATTGCATTTCCGAATTTTCCGCCGTTTTGCAGATATGTTGACGCAGATGTTCTCCTGTCTCTCCCAGTGTACTCTGGGTAAATGTGAGTTACACAAATGTAAACAAATTGTCAAACTGCAGCGAATTAAAATCCTGCTGCCCAGACATGCAAAGCAAGACAGATAGACGGACAGAAATATAGAAAGACTCTAATGAGACCGAAAAGATCTGTGTGGATCTGTGTGCTGCACAAACAGAGCAGTCACAGATGATATAAAAGCACGCAATTGTGATTCATGCGAAGCTCCTGTCTCATTTGAACTGTAACTTACTGCTATATTATCAAATAAGAAAAAACAGAGTAGCTATTATAAACAAGTTACGTTTCAGGATATTAATATAATCCACCCGTGGCTCCAGCCCCCTTCTTGGCACACGCTCATTGGCTGTTCCTGATGCATTTAAAGCCATCGGAAAAAGTGGAAATAGAGCAGACAAATAATGTTCTGAAAACAATAATTTAAAGGAAAAAAATTGTATTTTTTAATACCTTATGTTTGGAATTTTATGAAGGGGTCGCTAAATGTGACCTTTTGTTTTAATAAACGCACCTGCATTTAATGGTCAGTTTAATCGGACAGACGTGATAAAACTAGTAAAATGAATATGACTCGGAAGCAAATCAGGAACAGAAACAGTAAAAGACTGAAAAACAGGCAAGAATGAAGTTAAGATTTTTTTTTTTTTAACAAACTAAAAACAACAACAACAAAAAGATCCTCCTTGTGATATGTTTGTATTTTTAATGAGGCAGATCAGGGTTTTTATAGATATGAATATAATCCAAACCGCTTTCAAAATAGTAAATTGATATGGCACTTGTAAAATATTTTTAAAGAAGTAAGAAATTTATACTATAACAATATATAAATAAATATATAAATTTATAACTATATAATTAGTTAAAATAATGAGAGCAAGGTAAATACAATTAAAAATACATAAAACACGTAGAAATCCTCTTAAAAAAAAAACACGTTTCAATTTACGTAAAAACAGAAACTAAAGCCACTGAAATAACGCCGATTAAAAATGGAAAGTTATGATTTGTCCAATGACCCTGAACGTAGCATCATTCTCACTCCCACAGTGCTTTGCGGGCGCAATCATGACAGTGCAAGCCAAGAAATCAGGAGTGACCTGTTAAAACAGCAGATTTAACCTTATAACACCATACTCAAATAATGACCAAAACATTTTAATGAGGATTTTTCTAATTCAGTCAGGTATGTGGATCATATTTGTGGTTTTCCTTATTTTAAATCAGTATGTATGATAAAGAAAGAGGCGACAGCATTGAGTGAGGAGTGAACTGAGTGATGATGCTCACTGATGCAATCAGCAATAATGTTATTTACACAACAAATGTGTAAACAGCACTCGGCATTAATCCCAGATTAATTAACTGGATACAGCTCATGGAAAATGTTATTAAAAACAAATAAACACACACGTTTCCTTATGTAATAACTAGGCTTGTTTTGAATGAATATAGTGGTTGTAGTGCAAATAACGACAAAAGCAGATATCCACATTGATATTCATCCTGGGACAAATGAAGTCACCTCTGTTATTAACGTGAATTCAGGATATAATTAAAAATATTCATAAATACGTTATTGGTATCCAGAAAAATTGTAATGGATAACTGCAACATTTCTTCTCAGAGAAAACCTTGAATTTGGAAGTCTGTGATGCAGATTTTACATGTCATCACTTTTTCATTGTGGATATATTAAAATTAAACCTTCCAGATGTCTGTAATCTCGTTTTTATTATTCAAAATCCATTAAAATAAACATAATTGATGTCCACAGTTGGCTTTAATGCAACACCAGGTCTCTTTGATTAAAGCTATGAGCAGAAACAGCTTAATCACAGTTGTTGTATTGTGAATAAATGAATGATAGACTTCTGTCTGATGTTACTGATAAAAAGTTAAGTGTCCTCTCCATGTGTGTCCTAATATTATGACTCTACATCCACAGTATGTGTCATCGTATTAATGATGTCATGAAGCTGTGTTGCGAATTATCGGCCAATCAGCAGATCCAGACCACCGTGAAAGGCTCGGGGAAGGGGGCAGCAGCCGCAGGAGGGCTGGCTTTTGCTGGTGGGCTGGTCGGGGGTCCTCTGGGTATCGCAGTTGGTGAGTAAAATACAAAAAACTGTCCCTCATTTGGGAGACGTGTGTCTTTTGTCAGGTTTTTTATTTCTGTATTTTTCTTTTCTTTTTTTTTTTAACTTATTTTTGTAGCTTCAGCCCAACAGTTTTGTTGTAGGATTCACTGCACAGCTGTTTCATTTAAAGTAAACTACTAAACTGAAAGTCTGACATTCAAATTGTTTATTGAAGTATTGCGCAATAGTTCAGTTTTGAGGAAGTTGTACTTTATTAAGTATTTTATGAGTATTTTTAAGAGCAATATATTTATATTTGGCTCTTTTTTGGTGAATTTATACACATTTTCTTCATTAGGTATAAGTTGTGAGTTAACTTACGAATAACTTGGACTTTAGGACACAAAAAAAGAACACTGCATAATAAAGATAAAGAAAATATATGAAATTACAGTTCGAGAAAAAAGAGAACTTTCATTCTCACTTTAACTGGTGAAGATATTAAAAGTGTTTACATTTCCTGACTCCAACTATTGATTGCAAATGCTATGACAAACTAATAACACAGATTTTTAAAAATATGTTAAGCACTTTTAAATTTGACACCATTGGGTGCAGGCCAGTCTTTTCGACAGCTGTCATTGGTTTGAGTATGGACCATGACTCTTTCACAGTTTAGATGACAAAATCCACTCATTCTTTCACATTTGACACTCAGGAACATTATTCTGAAACTGTTGAACTATTAGCTCACACAGTCTCTCACAGAGTGGTGAACCTCTTTCCGTCTTTCCTTCTGAGAGACTCAGCCTCTCTGAATGTCCTTTTTATACCCAGTCACATTGCTAACCTGTAAACAATTCATCAAACTTTCACTGAATAATTTTCCTCTGTTAACTTTCCCACTTTTTTCTAGCACCTGCCTTGTTTTGAAGTGTGCTGCAAGCACCGAACTGTTTGATTGGTTTTGTCTGATTTTCTGTTATTTTTAATTAGGTATCAGGATTCAACATTATGCAAAAAACTCCCATTCTCTCTCTGTTGACATTTTACACTGTGTCCTATTTTTTCTCCGAGTGGGTTTGCAGAAATAAACCTGGTTTTGGTTCTGCCCTCTTGCAGGTGGTGCTGTTGGGGGTCTGCTGGGCTGCTGGTTGACTAGCGGACAGTTCAAACCTCTGCCTCAGATCATCATGGAGCTCAGTCCTGAGCAGCAGCAGAAGCTCTACAGCGACCTCATGGTCATCTTGGGGGATATCCAGTGGACTGACGTGGCTCAGCTCACTGCTCTGGTGATGGGAAATGCCACGCTGAAGCAGCAGCTCACGGGTGCCCTGCTCTCGTACGTCACCAAGGAGCTGCAGGCGAACGTGCACTATGTGGACTGATGACCTGCTTCAGGAGGATGTGAACTGTTTTTCAGAGCTAAAGAGACTGTCAAAATGTGACAAAAACAGGCTGTAAATCTGCACAGACACATCTATTAACTATGTCCTCGTTGTTGTGAAGGTTAACAGCTTTGCATCTGGATTAATTTATTATTGGAAGTGCAATCATTAATGCAAGAGAGTATTTATTCACTTTTTTATTGGCAATCTTTATCATGTGTGGCTTTAAATGTAATCAATTGAAGTAGCTTTTGAGTATTTGAATACAAAAATAAGCACTAAAGGAGAGCAAGCTTCACAGTGCCAAATAAGATTAGAGTATGTTTGTGTGAGTGGAGATACACCAGCATCTGTATGGAGTACAATGCTATCACTAAGAGTCGATTCAAATGCTGTTTCTGTGAAAAACTTCATCAATAAACTATTGGTGTTTCACTTTTTACAGTGGTTTCACTCCTCAGGATGATCTTAATCTGTGATGTGACAGTAAAACTACTTAATGTCACTCCAGGATTTAACAACTAAGCAGGGAATGCAGAAAAAGACAATTTGACACACTTTCAGGGTGAGATAAGAAAATCAAGATTTCTCTGCCTCTTTCAAATTAAGTTTCTGAAAAACATCTACAGGTCTGATATCCCAAAACTATTACCAAGGGGTTCATTGGCTAGATTTCTGTGCCTGTCTGGTCAGCCAACTAGTCTGAGCTGAACCCCATGGAGGGTCTGTGGGATGTTTGTCAAGAGGAAGATGAGGTACAGCCGACCAAAAAATCGACCAGTTGAAGGCTGCTACCAAAACAAGCTGAGCTCAAATGACACCTGAGCAGAGTGACGGGCTCATCACCTTCATGTCATGCCGCAGGAGCTGAACCAGGTATTTTAAAAAAAAACAAAGAATTTCATGACAACAAAGAGGCTTGAAATATTTCACTTTATATTAAAAAAAGAATATGTGGAAGTCTTGTTGAAGTTCAAATAAATATTTCTGGCTTCTAAAATTTTGATGATTTTAGGTAAAATTCAGGTTTACATAACTTCCATTACTTGGCAAATTAAAATGTTCTTAATTCATTTAGTTCCACTTTTGTAGTTGTGGATTATTTATGCAAATTTAGGTTGTTGCTTCATAAAGTTTTTTTCTTGTTTTGCACAATATGTGCACTGAAGTTTTACATACTTAGGAGCTGTTTTTCCTCCTGCTTCGAACTTTCTACATTTCAAGTCATCAGGAAACTATTTCATGAAGAAGTGAGGCATAATTAGAAACCACTGAGATGAAATATTTGATTCTTATAGAGTAAAACAGCTGTGAATCAAAATCTGAGCTTTATAATGTTGTTGTTTTTTACTCTTTTGGCAGTAAACAGATGCAACAAGTCAGCGCTGGAGCTGGAAATAAATCTTTATTAGTAAATACACATTGCATACCATCCCCAACAGAGAGTAATCTAAAATACATTGTACAGAGAGGAGCTGAGAGAGCTCCAGTGTTTATCCCACCACGACTGTGTCATCATCTGGGAACTCGTAGTAGGGAACCTCCAGGTTGAGCGGCGCCGGTCCCTTCCTTATTCTTCCAGAGGCGTCGTAGTGAGAGCCATGGCAGGGGCAGTAGTAGCCTCCGAAGTCTCCAGCGTTGGCGATGGGCACGCAGCCCAGATGGGTGCACACACCAAGGACGATGACCCAGCTGGGGTTGAGCACTCTATCCTTGTCATGCTGGGGGTCGCGAAGCTCAGCCATATTCACCGCTGCCTCTGTGGCGATCTCTTTCTCTGTGCGGTGGCGGACAAACAGGGGCTTCCCTCTCCACTTGAAGGTCATGTTTTTGCCTTCAGGGATGTCGCTGAGCTTGATCTCAATCTTGGACAAGGCCAGGACATCAGCTGATGCACTCATGGAGGACACAAACTGGTAGACCACGGTCTTGGCTGCATAGACGCCGACCACGGTGGTCGCTCCAGTGACGAGGTAAGAGAACGCTTTTCTGGATTCGCTGCTGTCCTTGGAGGACTTGTTTGGGTCCTGGACCTCAGGCCGGCGGTAGTCTGAAAAGTCAGGGATCTTAATGTCTGTGTGGGCAAGGCGGATCCCTCCAGGAGCTGCAAACAAGAAATGAGCTGTTTTTAGAGACGATACATAAATCAAATACATCTACATCTTTCTGCCAAACACATTTACTGTGAAGTACTTTCAGTTTGCGTCTCTTTTTCTGTCACCCACATTGCAAAGATGATCCTCAAACTACTCTGCTGGTCTCATTACAGCCGTGAGTGTGTTTTCTGACAGAATCTCCTCCTGCTGAACCAATCTAAGCATTTAAACATCTAAACATATCACCCAATGTGGATATTTAAAAATGAAAAAAAAAGCTAAGTCCTTATCAGCTGTCAATCACTCTCTGTCACCTGCCCCTTGCAGTCATTTCAGGTATTTAAGATAACAAATCAGATCTTGTCAGTCTTGTTGCTGATGGTCTTGTTCACTTTTGTTGGTCTTGAAGGAGTGTCAGTGTCTATATCAACCTTTTACAGCCAGTTTAAGCCGCAGTGAGTGGAAATGAAAATACATAGCTGTCAAATTCTACGGTGAAACACTCCCTTGTTCACTCCTTCGGTGGCCTTATGAGGACAAGAAGCTTCTGTGATGTGCACAACAAATTTGATACTTTGTCAGCTTTTTAGCACCAAAAACAATGAGCACAAATTCTTCTGCCCAACAACCACTTTCTCCTTCTTCTTTTTCTTCCTCTTCTTCCAACCCATGCCTTTCATGCAGCCACTCACTAAACATAACAAATATGAATGTCAGTAGTTTGTCTATTTTAAGCTACTGTAGCGGTGTAAGGTGTCTAAAGAAGGGGACTCGCTCCAATGTAGGAATCAAAGACTAACTCTTACAAAACCATTTAAATATTGAGATGATAAAACACTGATTTAAACATACTTCTAAATACTATATTCTGTTCTGTGAGAGAAGCTGTTACTCCTCACAGAAGCTTTAAATAATTTTGTGTCACTGTTCAATAACAATCAATTTCAATCATTGCATTTAATGGTTATGAAACACAAATAACAGTAATAATGATGATAATTATAAAAATAGTTGATAATTGGTTAAGTTCAGTGAAAACACGGTAAAAATCTAAACTGATTTCTACACCACACATAAATGGAACCAGTGGAGTAGTTGTCACTTATATAAAGAACAATAAATATTTAATTACAGTTATTTTGTTTGATGATAAGATCACAAAAGCAACAAGCCATTTTAAACCAGATTCTTCAAACAGTATGAGATACTTGGTTGTACATTTAATTTTTGACTTGAAATAAAATGTGTATTTGGATTGTGAGAAGTTATTCTGACAATGATAAAGACAAATCCACTTGGTGAGATTTGAGCTTTTGCAGAGAACACAGTGGATAAAAAGGACACAGTGGATAAAAAGGACATAGTGGATAAAAAGCTTGTAGGCTATGTGTGTATGAAATACACAAACATTTGATCAACGACAGCGACATGAGTGAACACAGTCTGTTACATTCCACCTTTACTGAAGTTTATTGAGTAACAGTCATTTGCAGTAGTTGTAAATGTATCTGAGCTAGATAACGTCATAAGAATAACCTGTTTATGAAAAATAAACCTGAACTTAAACTTAAAGGAATGTTTTGTTCTGTTTTTTTTCACTTGAGCTGGTATGTGAACGCAAACCCTTATTGTCCCTGGTTACATGCCGTACTTTCATACTTGTTTACAGAAGATCTAAGGTCACACACAAAGTTTGAGAACAGGCAGATGCTGGTGTACATTATTATAGAAAATCTGTGAAATTATATATGTATACCAGTATGTATTTGACAGAAAAGTGTTGTTTAATCAGAGCGGACCCCTCTTTTAGCTCAGATTGCAGCTCTCCTGTTAGCTAACATCTGCGTAACTTTAACAGAGGGCAGGTAAAGGTGAAATAACACCATATATACATATTTATTTACAACGGACTACTAAATAATCTGGTTTATGTCAATATTTAGAGAATATCAGATAAAGAGAGTCACACCCAGACTGAGGGCTGTTGTTGTCTGTTGTTGTCAGTTGTTGTCCTTACCTGCAGCACAGACCGTCTCTTTGGCTCCAGAGGACACCAGACTCTTCACCGTCAGTCTGGTAGCCTGCAGATAAGGGGTCAAAGCCCCAGATCGAGCGGCCATGGACATCATTTCTGTCCAAAATCTGAGTCCAACACCCCGCAGCACAGCGGACGACCTTGCGTCGTTTACAAATCTAGCGTGTTACTGTCCAATTGGTGTTACCAGAAACCCTGTCTGCAGCTGGAAGGTTCCGGTACAAGGTTCCGCCCTTCTCTTACAACATGACATAAAAATACATTGATATCAATGGTAATCTTTTGAGCTATCAAGATTTTTGCCTTAAACATAACTTTAATCCTTCTAAATCAGGCTTTACTAAACTCCATAAAGCACTCCCTCGGGAATTCGTATTTTTATGTATTTCTCTAGATAATGTTACTTCTGGAATGTTACTACCAAATAAAAATGATGAACTCTGTTGCAATGTAATTTTATGTCTTGCCAAATATTTCATCCATAAGAATTAAGTTATGAGATCATCCCCCAGATTTATTGTTTTCATAAACGAATTTAAAAGGTATTTGAAATCTCTTAAAACGTTAACTGGTTTGAAGGAACAAAAGTTATATGATAAGAATTTTCCCACTGATATGAACAGCTAAAAATGTTCTAAAAAAGAAGAAAACCCTTGTAAAGTTTTGCATAGCATTGATTATTTTATTCATTTTAAATTACTTTTGTGTTTCTGTTTGCTTGTTGTTCTTCACTGTATACTTTATATTTCTCACTGATATGTTATTTCAATATTGAAATTACTGTATTGAACTGATTCTGCTATGTTTCGAATTATAATTTTGTTTAGTCTGAATAAAACTAAAAGACTCACACTCAGAAGTCAAAGGTCAGCCTGTTAGAAACACACATCCATTCAAACAGGAACAAGTTCTGGAGTGTCAGAGTCCAGAATCTGGACCGACCTCTGTCTGTGACTGTGTCCAAGACTTTAAAACTCCAGGAAGGGGACCACGAGGTCCTCATGCTGTCCTCCTGATCGATAAACACAAATCACACCTTCACAATAAACCTGTGTCGCTTTGAAAAAAAAAAAAAAAAAAAAACATCACAAAAACATGCTTTTGTTCTGTAACGCCTGGTAAGTGGAGGCAACAGTAGTGCCTGTGGTCATCGTGGCACTCAGGGCAGTGACCCCCCAACTAATGAGGTGAATTTCCAACATGTTAGTAATATGATTGGGTATACAAATGACATTCAGAGAGGCTGCGTTTCTCAGAAGGAAAGATGGGAAGAGGTTCACCACTCTGTGAGAGACTGCTTGAGCCAACTGTTTCAGAACAATGATCTTGAGTCTCAAATGTGAAAGAATGAGTGGATTTAATCATCTACAGTATGTGTATACAAATGTGTATTTTATCATTATATAATGATAAAATACACATTTGATAGCATACACATACAATTTTTCTGTCACTGATAATAAAGCCTGAGCTGCATCACATATGTATTTCAGGTCGTTGTCAGGAACCACAACTGAAAATGTACATCCTTAGTCCCCCAGAAGGAAAGATTGGAAGAGGTTCACCACTCTGTGAGAGACTGTGTGAGCTAACAACAGTTTCAGAATAATGCTCCTGAGTGTCAAATGTGAAAGAATGAGTGGATTTCATCATCTACAGTACATAATATCAATAAAAGATTCAGAGAATCCGGAGAAATCTCTGTACTAAAGGAACGAGGACCAAAACCAAGATTGGATGGTCCTGATCTTTGGGCCCTCAAGCAGCACTGTACTGAAAACAGACAGGACTCTGGAGTGTAAATCACTGCCTGGGCTTAAAATCACTTAGATCCGCTGTCTGTGAACACAGTTTCTCACTGCATCCACAAATGAGGTTTAAATTGAACCACAAAAGAGAAAAAAGATAGAAAAAGGTTTGAGATGTTGTCTTTGGCAAATCTTAATTAATGATAGATATTGTTAAAAAATAATTAAATTTTGTTTTTATTAACATTGACAGAGTCCTTTCTTTAATTGGAATTGTACATTTTTTCAAGATACCGTCCCTGATCATTTGTTCAGGGGGAAAAAAAAAAACTTTTTTTGGCTTCTCTGGGTTGTTATATTGAATATAGACCTATAATGATAATTTTTAAAAAGTGTGTACAGTTAGAAATTTAAAGCATTGTTTTACCAACAGTTTAAAGGAGAAGGGATATTATTCAGGCTAAAATGAGGAGATACCGTCTAATTTTGTTCAGGCAGTTCCGTGGTCTCCTAAACGGAGAGGTCCTCGTGATGTAAACAAGGGTCCTCCCACTAAATATGGAGCCCATCTACACAATGGTAACCTGAGAGAGAAAATAATCAAATAAAGATGAAAATACCGAAAAGAAAACTGTTCCTCTTGGTTATTTTTGCTTACGTGGCGTTTTCTCTTTACGCTGCTTACAATGTATTCTTCAGCACCAAGGTGATCTCCCGCGTGCACAGGGTGGTGAAGAAGGGGACCGGGGCTCCCTCAGGTACATCAGTCACCGTAACACCGAAGAAACGGACTCATGCATATTCAAAAAGGCTGTATGTTTTATTAACAGCTGGTTTATGTTCATTGACAATTAGTTTTCGTGGCGTGTGTGTATGTGTGTGTTCCAGGTGGGGTGAGGGACGGGGGGGCTGCTGCTGCTCCGTTTATGGCTGATGAGTGGAACCCGTGGGAGGATGAACAGGTGGAGTATAACTCTGCCCTGAACCAGAGGAGGGAGGCCTTCAAACAGCACCTGAGCCGGATAGACAAGAACAAACCAAGAAGATACAAGGTCCAGATCTGGGGGAAAGCTGCAATTGGTGAGTCCTGGGGGTGTGACTGTGATCGATGAGCCACAACAAGCTGCAAAAGCAGGTTTCTGATGTGGACTCCAATGACCCCAGAAGCTGTTGGAGAACTATTTTAGGTCCTCTGGGTCTAATTGATCATTAATATAACCATTATGTCCCACTCAAAAAACAACAACAAAACAGTCTTCACATGAAATAAGTCAAAAATGGACACATATGTCATCATCATTATTTTCCGCTGTATCAGTTAATATCAGCAGCTTTACTGGAAATTAAATGAAATATTTTCGAAACTTAAACTCTTTATGAACCAGTCTGTGTGTGCTCTTCCACGGGCAACCCCCCCCCCCCCCCCCCCCCCCACAGGAAATTAAAGGAAATTATACATTTCTCATAAGCTTAATTCTGGAAGAGATGTTTCAATTTTTGTGCTTGTCAGTTCTAAAAAACACTTTGCTTAGCCCCTAATGAACACATCAGAAAACTGCTGTGATGATTTTTATTTTGTATTTTTTGGTTTATTTGATTAAGACGATGCACATTAATCATCATATTATCAATATATATCAATGTTAATGGACCAGAATTTGCAAAGTAGCTAGATTTCATCCACAGTCCAACAGATAGGGAAGCAGAAAACAAATGTTACAATCACAGAACAGACCACAGGGCTGTTTTCAGTCATATATTAATGTTATTTTACAGTTTAACTTTTTTCTTCATGTACAGTCTTAATAATAGTTCTAAAGTAACTTTTTATTTCCATACTTAAACACTTTTAAACACTATCCCAGTTGATGTTTATTTAGCCTCTAATACCTTTTGTAGAAAAAAAGTACAAAAAGACAATTATCTCTGATGAGATATTAAATCTTTTTCTTTCCTTTGTATCAACAAACCTGTGACAGAGAGCTACATAGTGTTGACTCTACTGCAGGAATTATTTAAAGAGGTAAAATATCACAAAAAAAAAAATAAAACTTTTTTATTTGAGGCATTTTCAAAACAGAAGTACAACCATGACTGTCTCTAGTAGAAAAATACACCATTTGTTTATCATGTAAACCATTCCTTCAGCTGCTTTGTTAATTCTGTATTACTGCCATATTTCCAGAATGAGTAAGAAACAGCAGAAAGACCCGATGAAAAGGGCTTCTTTCACAGATCAGGGTAAAAACCACATAACAGTGATTTATGTTTTGCTGCTGAAGCTGAGCTCTGGTACCACATAATTTTACTGCACATCGGTGACATTTTTACTCCAGCAGAGAAACTCCATCAGACCTTTTCTTTTCTCCTCAGGGCTTTATCTTTGGGAACATATTTTAGAGGGACCTCTCAACCCAACTGACAAGGTGGCACAATGGAGAGAGGGAGAGCTGGAGGCGGGAAAGATCGACTTTAGGTAACAAATCAAAAATGGGACACTTAATGTTTAAACTTGAGTAAATCATCTGCTGTGGGGACCTGCTGTGAAATACGCCACATCATATCATAACTGTTAAATTATACAGAAGCTCATTCCCTCCTCCCTCCATGTTTAGTTTCTACACAGGTCCTGCTGTGGTCCAGGGTCATGTCCCACTGGATATGAACAGCCTGGTTCTGGTTCTGAATGGTCGTGAGCAGCAGAAGGTTTCTTACTCCACACGCTGGCTGGAGCATGTCCAAGCTCTGGTGCAGTCCCACACTGTGTCACATGTGGCGGTGGTCCTGCTGGGCAATGAGCAGTGCAACAACGACTGGATCGCCCCGTACTTAAAGAGGAACGGAGGATTTGTGGAGCTGCTGTTTGTGGTGTACGACAGCCTCTGGATCAACGACAAAGACGTCTTCCAGTGGCCTCTTGGTGTCGCCACGTATGTGTTCAATATCAGTGCATCAAACATCCCTTTTAGATGAAGCAACCTGTCTAACATGTTGGTTTTATTGCTTGTGTCTCTGTGCAGGTACAGGCAGTTCCCAATGATCAGGCCTAACGCTCAGCTAATCACCTCCAATAGACCATACCTCTGTAATTTTCTAGGAACTGTTTACAAAAATTCCTCCAGGGAAACTCTCATACAGGTGCTGAAACAATCGGGTCTGGATAAAGAGTGCATCACCGCTGCCAGGGAGAAGTAAGTCAGTGCTCAGAGTTTTTCTGTCTTATCTTAGGAGTGATGAGCGAACATGGAGCTGTCTTACAACGTTTTTACGAGTCTCACTTGTAGATGGCTGTGTTTGACACCCCAAATGAAATAACCTCCATAAAATGAAACAAACATATAGACTGACGATGTGCAGACCAGTAGCAGCATTTTGAAGACTGTTTAGGCCAGATATCACTGAGTCTCTTACATCCTGGTTAATACCTATGCAACATTAAGTGAAGGATATTTCAAAGAGAATTACAAAATTAAGAAAATTAATGCTTCCTCCAGCATAAAACTGACAGTCAGATCAGATCAGTAGGATTTGATCTGCTTTTATCCACAGGATCATATATAAACTGAGTAATCAAATCACAGAATCAGAATGCCCTTTATTGTCATCATACTGGAGTACAATGAGATTGGAGAGCTTCTCCATTTCTAGTGCAATAGAAGTAAAAAAGAGAAAAACAGAATTAAGAGGTACAATAAAAATAGGTACAAAATATATACAAGATATATATTTCTGGATCACAGAAGAAACTGAGTAAACATTTGAATTCCGAGCATCAAACCATCGGTGTCAGCTAAACCTTCATGTATAATAAGGCTAGATTACAAGACGGGCATTTATTGAAAGGACATTCAGAGGACATTACATTATGCTGAAAGTGCATTCAGAGGGGAGTATTTCAATCCATTGACTGAGTAGACAGTCATATATCACTCACTGGAAGAGCAACTGCAAGTGCATTTTTAATTGCATTTTCCATGGAAAGGGCACCATAGGGAGCTTGTTGGAGGCTGATATGTAACAATGATGCAAAATGGTACAAAATAATGTGATAAGGCCCAAAATGTAACAAGCAGTGATACATTTTGGGCAAACAGTTATTATGTTTTGGGCTTATGTTAATAACATTTCAGAACATTGTTAGGTATCAGGGTGTTTTATAATATTCAAACACACACACACACACACACACACACACACACACACACACACTATTGTACTGATATAATAATAATCACCTTTACTTCACAATTGTCAAACTTTGACATGTTAATAAATAATTTTCTTCACAAAAATAACTAAAAATTTATTATCACAGTAATGATGATAAGATTTAAAGGAAAATATTAATAACTTGAGGATGAGAAACAACTGATCCAAAATTATAGACCAGCTGAAAACCACCAGCAGGACTCAGCTCCTGCCCACAGCACCAAAACACCTACCTAAAGAGAGTCTGATGCAGATCAGCTGAAGGCCACTGGACATTTCTGTATTTTAAATCTTTTTTGTTTGATCCTCACAATTAAAGATCAGATTTCATTTTTTTCATGAGCTTTGAGCCAAAATCAGTCGAATCAAAACAAAACAGCTTGAAATTTTTCATTCTATGTGTAGAGATGATGTATGACAGTTACTAAAACATCTTTTTTTTTCACTCTTGAGACTGCAGTTTTTAAGAGTTACCTACACAGATGTCTATCCAGTCCTGTGTTGTGGACATAACTCCATATTTGTCAATTAAATTGTCTTTTTATATTGTTTGTCTGAAACATGCTCTTAAAATTTATCACAAGTATTTATATATTTAGGAAATGTTGGTCCTGCTTTTTGCACAATTTGAATGTGACTGATCATTTAAAATGCTGAATTTTATCATTTTAATATTCAAGTAAAACCAAGTTTCCTCCTTTGGTCCATTGCTAGAACAAGTGTTTCTTGTTTACCTCTGCAGCACCAGCTGTTTTCTTATGTTTTCCCTCCCCTCTGCTCAGGTGGCTCCCTCAGGAGACAGCAGACACTCTGAGGAGTTATCAAACCGCTCTGGCTCAGAGCGAGCTCACTCTCTGCCCGGTGGGAATCAACACTGAGTGCTACCGTATCTATGAGGCCTGCTCGTACGGCTCGGTGCCTGTAGTGGAGGATGTCATGACGCCCGGGACATGTGCCGCTGGGCCCAGCTCCCCTCTGCGTCTGCTGAAAGCTGCAGGAGCGCCCTTCATCTTCATCAGTGACTGGAAGGAACTGCCTGCCATCTTGGAGAGGGAGCGAGGGATGAGCCAGGAGCAGAGGGTGGACCGCAGGAGGAGGCTGCTAGAGTGGTACGCGGGTTTCCGTCAGCAGATGAAGGAGAGGTTCACAGAGGTCATCGAGGAGACGTTCTTCAGAAATGGCTGATTGTGGTGCTCCATGAACAAACTTCAAAAAACAACAGGGGTCGATGTTTCATATTAAGTTATCTTGTGGATTATGGTGACTTACTACTGGTGTGGTGAATATGATTATATTCAGTGTAATATTCCTGTGATGGTTATAATAAACCATTCATGTCTGTAGTAAAGTTAAAAAGCTGCTGTTATAGTCTGTAAAGAGCTGCGTGGTATTTAAGTATCTTCATCTTACTGTTTACAATGGTTGAATGTCCAGATGTTTTAGATATAACTACTGCCTTTGAATTTGAAAGTGTTATTAACTCAGCTGTATGTTTTTTATCTGTTTGTATGCACTTATAATTGTGATTTTAAAGAAACTCTACTCATAGGTTGTAGGATCATTAAATCATGTGATATTTGGCCTTGTGAGAAAATGGCGAATAAGAGATCTCTTGTTTTGTGTGAGCAGCTTGAAGATGAATGTTGTTGCTGTGGCATGATGATTTCTAATCCAACCCTAAAGAAACTTTTTCTTCTTTGTTGTATTTATTTTCTTCCTGTGCTGCATGAAATCTTCTTTATTTTTAAGAAAGTGCAATAAATGGAGTATTGTCTTAAGAGGACGTTGGTGGATTTGTTCACCCTGTGTGTTTTTATTTTCCCAACAGATGGTGCTATTACTCTGTTTGTTAACCTGTTGATTAGATTCTTGTGAGACATAAAGCAGGACATTTTTGGAAGTTTGTAAAAAAATAAAGAGACAAACTAACCAGACTTTTGGTGACGAGCAAAAAAAATTTTGAGGAGAAAAAAAAGGTTCATAACAAAAAGAAAACTTGTTGCATGATCTTGTACTTATTTACATGTTTATTTGACACTGAGACAAATGCATTAATTTACTTCAATGATCCTTCATCGTGGTAAAAATCCTCCAGTCACAGCCACTCACAACAAAGGAGAGCTGCATACAACATAGACTGCATATACAAAACAATACAATACAATACTATACTATACTATACAATACCATGGACAGTCTATGTCCAGAACAAAGTGAGAATATTCAGTTTTAGTTAATCAGAAATTAAAACTTGCTAATTTTTTATTGATCTCCACTTGCACAAAAATGTTGTTTTTCTAAAGCTTTTTAAAAATTTTGTTTTTTTTCATTGTTAGTTGCTCTGCAGTATGGCAGACTAGGACTACATTAAGTTTTACAGGAAGATTTTTACGATTAGGACGTTGAAATTAGGACGCAGAAATTAAGTCACTTCATTACAAAAGCAAACTCATTGAATATTAATAGCATGAATTTGCAGTAAAATCATAATGTTAAAGTTGTAATGTTATGACAGTAAAGTGTTTCATAACTATAGCCTTATATTAAAAAAATGAAGAAGTGGTAAAGTCATAATATTATGACTTTGAAGTCATCATGTTAGGAGAATAAAGTTGTAGTTTTGGAAGTGATTGGCTTGTTTTGAAGTCGACAGGCGGCCAGTACCAAAAGAAAATGAAGCAATGTGTAAATTTAAATACATATATTTATTATGTTATATATATATATATATATATATATATATATATATATATATATATATATATATATATATATATATTTATTATTTAATATATTCTTACTGCCGATATGTCAAAGCTCCGCTACTGTTATGTGCCTTCTGCTGTGCCATGTGCACTGAGCATCCAAAGCGCAGGTAGTTGTGGGTGTGGTATCTGGAGTACAACATGGGGCAAAACAATGTCGCAAATAAGGACATATCCTTCAGGAGCAGAGGAAAGAAATTGGAAGAAAGAGGAATAAGAGAAAAAACGCCAAGATAAAGGTATGTTTGCATGTCAAGGAATGTTAATCAAGAGATTTGTGAAGGAGTGCAAATGATCAGCAGTCAATATTACTGGTAGAAATAGAGGGCCCTGCTCTGTGTGCACACCCCTGCAGGACTACAGTCAGGCCACCCTGGTCAAAAACTGTGGACGCGCCCCTGGGAGCAGAGTGTCAGTCCGCTGGTGTCCACTAGCTGGCTGAGTGTGCAGGAGATCCCTCCTCTTCCCTCCCCTCCCGTGTCCTCTCCTCTCTTTCCCTCCTGGCTCCAGCTGCTGTGTGCTGCAGTCGGCCTGCCCTGTCTGCCTCTGAGCCTGCTGGGAGTTGGAGGGAGAAACCGTCGAGGGAGAGCAAGTAAAGGGGGGGAAGTGTGCGTACGAGAGCGGCTCTCAAACTGGGAACCATCGCTTAGAAACGCACACTCGACCTATCCAGGTCGACTAAAATCTTTCCAGGCGGACTGTCGGCACAACTTTCCAGAGAGCTGAGAAAACACACAGAGGAGACCCTGAAACTTGCGTGATTGTGTTTTTTTTCCCCTACTGTTGCTCCGCGCCGCCGCCGCGCCAGCTTTCACTGAGTGGATCCGTTTGTTGGAGCAGGATTGCGCTCTGGATCTTCAGTGTTTCCAAAGAGAGGCGGAACAATGAAGAAGTAACGCTTTTTTATTTTGCACGAAGTCAAGCTTGTTGCAGAGTTTCAGTGTCGTTTATTCTCGCGCTTCCTCTCCTTCTGATCGCGGTGATTTTCCTCGTCTTATGCAGGATGCGTTGGCTCCTGTAGGATCCGCTCGTTGACTTGCAGTTTTTACAAGAAGTTTCCAAAAGGCGTCGGACACGAAAAAGGCAGGAAAATGTCTTCACCGAGGTTCAAAAAGGATAAAGAGATCATCGCGGAGTATGAGAGTCAAGTCAAAGGTAAGAAAGAGTGAGCTGCGGGAGGGAAAGCTTTACCTGTGTGTGTGTGTGAGTCATGACTGTGGGCTCTGAAACTGCTCAAGTTTGGAAGAAACCACCTCTTGATGCTGTTTGCAGCGAGGCCAAAGAACGCATGCTAAAACTAAACCACCAGTCTTTCTGTAAACATTTCTCACAGCTCTGGTACAGTTGAACAACACCAGAACAACAAAATGAGCTTTATTTACAAAGGTGAGGGATTGGTAATTGAGCTGACGAGAAGCTGCAAGGCTTTTGTTTCGTGGTTTTGCATGTGAAAGACAACCAAAGTGCTCAGCAGAATCGCAGTCTTTCACACTTAAAACCTTTTACTCACATGTTTTTTGTCAAGTTAGATTTCATTTATGCTGGACACACTCTGAACTCTTACTCAAACTACATGTCCAGCAGTCTGTTACTATCAAGGACAATAGTATCAGAGTTTTTCCAGCATCCAGTGTGAGTGTAAAACTCTACACTTGTACCAGTAGGCACAGTTTTACTGCATGTATCACCATAAAGCTGTGCAGTACTGACAAAAGCAATATCTTGATATTTTGAGGGTATGATCACAGACCCGTAAAAGTAACTTACGCACATAGTGAGAAAAAACAGGTCTTATTTACTTCAAACTGTCAAATGAATTAAAAGAAATATCACTGAAATCACCTGTGTAAGTCCACCATTTTAAAGGGACCTACTTTGTTTAATATTACACAAAGACCAAAAAACCATCAGGAGAGCATTTTTCCTTTTATGCATGGAAGACCTGAATTCATATTGAAGGGTATGAACATCAGAATAAATTATTGATAAACATTCGACTGCCCAGCTGATTAATCAAGCCGATCAATGGTGTTTTAAAATACTCCACATCTGTTGATGCCTGCTCTCTAGAGGCAGATAAGTGATGATTGCAGACACTGCATACAGGCTCATATGGGTATAACTGGACTAGGTGAGTTAACTGGACTACTGTCCATGTCTCAGTGTAAAAGCACCAGGTGAGAATAGAAGAATTGATCCAAGTATGTCCACCTCTGCTACATGAGGTGGCAACTTCAGCTCGATACTACATGGGCGTTTCCCAGTTTAGGTATTATATCACGTACCAAAACAATCAACAAAGACGTCGGCAAGAGTCCAACAGGTTCTACGTCTAATGTCCAATAATGAAAACTTTTACAGCTCTGTACTATTTGTATGGTATGATAGCTTCAACTTTTTTTTTACATCCTTTCTTCTCTGTCAAGGTTTTGTTTCCTACTCTAGCTTCCAACAACACATACCGCTTTGGCTAGACTGGGTCTGACTGAGGTGTATACAAGCAAGAGAATATCAGCTATCTGGGCATGTTAGGGTGTCTGTAAGAACTTTGATTTAGTGAGATTTTGGTCAGACTAGCATGTTTATATGTATTTTAAAGGGCCAGTTTCAGTCAGACTGATGCCATAAATCGCTTTATTGAACACTGTGTGAGCATACAGAGGGAAAAGGCAGTCAGTAATCAGTGATAATGCCTCCTTAACTGAAATCATGTCAAACAGTTACTGGCCTGTGCTTAGCATAAATTATTAAATTATTTGTAGATGATTTCTCAAAATTATGCGGTTCAGTGTCCCTCCAGACAAAAATATTAGTCATTTTAAAGCATAAGCTCACATATTTTTCTATGTCATGATTTCATCAAAAATCCATTTTGAAAATACAACTAGCTAAGTTTGCCATGTATTTATGATTGTAATTCAGATTGATTTTCTGGTATAATTACAAAATCAATGGAAAAAGAAAATACATCGTTATTTTCAGTAGAAGTAACTTCAGAAATGGTGAACATTTTTATTGCCACACTGTCTTTGGTGGTAAGTTGACGCCATAATCTGTAGATTGGTGTCTTTTTGAAGCTGAACCACCTCCATGTGAAAAATTCACATTGATTTACATCTAGGGATGTTATCTACAGGGGGGTTGTTTAAAGGCTAGTGGTGTTTGTGTGTACTCTCATGGCATTTTTTGTCTCTCATTTGTAAGTGCACCTATGCTAACACAGCTTGCGACGTGTGAACATTGCATGTACTCTCAATGAGCGTGCTCAGTAATGAACTTAAACATATTCAGTGAATGTGTGTATACTCTCAGAGTGTGTTTTGAAATTTTTCTGCAAAATAAGTGACAATTAAGATGCAGTTTTTTTATCACTTTGCTCTGGATTTACTCCTTCACCCTGGTTTCTTCAGCTTGGGTCTATTTGTGACTTAAAAAAAATCTTTCTCCTCCCTGATTGAAGCTACAGGCCCACACACTCACTCCAAAGTATTAAACTGCTGTTTATGATTTAGGTTGATGATTTAAGGTGTGTGACACACCATAATGATGCCACCCTAACTTATCTGGTCTCCTTCAAACCTCCTCTTGCATGCAGAGCAGAGTTAGTTTATCGCAGACAGTCCAGCACAGGAAAGAGGCTGCTCCAGGGTAACCATGGGGATTTGGACGCCAGCCAACAAGCTCTGTTCTTCAGCGCCCTTAGCGTGCCGAAATACCACCTATTCATGTCCCCATATCCCACCTTAAATCCACAGAAAGAGGGGTTAGACCTCTGGTGTGTAAGGAATCTGAACATGGCATGTGTTTGAGTACAGGCGCTCATTTGTGAGGAATGTTGAGCAGCCTCTCTTCCCCCTCTGAGGATGACTAAGGGCTTTGAGCCTGTAATAGAAGATGATGCACAGTCATAGGGGATGTTGAACTAGACATGACGAAGTCTCCTGTTTGTTATGCAGAACCCAGGGGTGCAGTAACATCAATTTGATGAGCCTCTGGATAGTTGATTTCATATATACACGGCCACCCGAGCTGCAGTGAATGGATGTTAAAGGTCTGCTGTCTGTTGAAGATGCAGGATTCAGCTCTGAGCTCTCACAGGTAGAGCTGAGCTGTTTGCATAAAATACTCCTCTGATCTTTTTGCATTTCAAATAGCCTCAAGGAATCCAA